GCAGTAGCAGCAGCAGCAGCACCGTTTGGCCGTGTCTGAGCGCCGATTTTCTATTTTGTTTCTAGGGTTTCAGAAGCAACGTTAGACATTTTTTGGGTGCGCTTCTCGGACTAGTTCGTCCTTCAGGGCCATGGTGTTTCGGTGTGGCGAAGAGCTCGTTTGGCCGTGTCTGAGCACCGATTTTCTGTTCTGTTTCTAGGGTTTCAGAAGCAACGTTGGACATTTTTTGGGTGCGCTTCTCGGACTAGTTCGTCCTTCAGCGCCATGGTGTTTCGATGTGGCGATGGGTACGTTTTGGAGGCCTGCAGTACCAGTTGCAGCAGCAGGACTAGCAGCACCAGCAACAGCAGCAGCAGCATCGTTTGGCCGTGTCTGAGCACCGATTTTCTGTTCTGTTTCTAGAGTTTCAGACGCAACGTTAGACACTTTTTGGGTGCGCTTCTCGGACTAGTTCGTCCTTCAGGGCCATGGTGTTTCGGTGTGGCGAAGGGTACGTTTTGGAGGCCTGCAGCACCAGTTGCAGCAGCAGGACTAGCAGCACAGCAGCAGCAGCAGCAGTAGCAGCAGCAGCAACAGCAGCAGCAGCAGCAGCACCGTTTGGCCGTGTCTGAGTGCCGATTTTCTGTTCTGTTTCTAGGGTTTCAGAAGCAACGTTAGACACTTTTTGGGTGCGCTTCTCGGACTAGTTCGTCCTTCAGGGCCATGGTGTTTTGGTGTGGCGAAGGGTACGTTTTGGAGGCCTGCAGCACCAGTTGCAGCAGCAGGACTAGCAGCACCAGCAGCAGCAGCAGCAGTAGCAGCAGCAGCAGCACCGTTTGGCCGTGTCTGAGTGCCGATTTTCTGTTCTGTTTCTAGGGTTTCAGAAGCAACGTTAGACACTTTTTTGGGTGCGCTTCTCGGACTAGTTCGTCCTTCAGGGCCATGGTGTTTCGGTGTGGCGAAGGGTACGTTTTGGAGGCTTGCAGTACCAGTTGCAGCAGCAGGACTAGCAGCACCAGCAACAGCAGCAGCAGCATCGTTTGGCCGTGTCTGAACACCGATTTTCTGTTCTGTTTCTAGAGTTTCAGACGCAACGTTAGACACTTTTTGGGTGCGCTTCTCGGACTAGTTCGTCCTTCAGGGCCATGGTGTTTCGGTGTGGCGAAGGGTACGTTTTGGAGGCTTGCAGTACCAGTTGCAGCAGCAGGACTAGCAGCACCAGCAACAGCAGCAGCAGCATCGTTTGGCCGTGTCTGAACACCGATTTTCTGTTCTGTTTCTAGAGTTTCAGACGCAACGTTAGACACTTTTTGGGTGCGCTTCTCGGACTAGTTCGTCCTTCAGGGCCATGGTGTTTCGGTGTGGCGAAGAGCTCGTTTGGCCGTGTCTGAGCACCGATTTTCTGTTCTGTTTCTAGGGTTTCAGAAGCAACGTTGGACATTTTTTGGGTGCGCTTCTCGGACTAGTTCGTCCTTCAGCGCCATGGTGTTTCGATGTGGCGATGGGTACGTTTTGGAGGCCTGCAGTACCAGTTGCAGCAGCAGGACTAGCAGCACCAGCAACAGCAGCAGCAGCATCGTTTGGCCGTGTCTGAGCACCGATTTTCTGTTCTGTTTCTAGAGTTTCAGACGCAACGTTAGACACTTTTTGGGTGCGCTTCTCGGACTAGTTCGTCCTTCAGGGCCATGGTGTTTCGGTGTGGCGAAGGGTACGTTTTGGAGGCCTGCAGCACCAGTTGCAGCAGCAGGACTAGCAGCAGCAGCAACAGCAGCAGCAGCAGCACCGTTTGGCCGTGTCTGAGTGCCGATTTTCTGTTCTGTTTCTAGGGTTTCAGAAGCAACGTTAGACACTTTTTGGGTGCGCTTCTCGGACTAGTTCGTCCTTCAGGGCCATGGTGTTTCGGTGTGGCGAAGGGTACGTTTTGGAGGCCTGCAGCACCAGTTGCAGCAGCAGGACTAGCAGCACCAGCAGCAGCAGCAGTAGCAGCAGCAGCAATAGCAGCAGCAGCAGCACCGTTTGGCCGTATCTGAGTGCCGATTTTCTGTTCTGTTTCTAGGGTTTCAGAAGCAACGTTAGACACTTTTTGGGTGCGCTTCTCGGACTAGTTCGTCCTTCAGGGCCATGGTGTTTTGGTGTGGCGAAGGGTACGTTTTGGAGGCCTGCAGCACCAGTTGCAGCAGCAGGACTAGCAGCACCAGCAGCAGCAGCAGTAGCAGCAGCAGCAGCACCGTTTGGCCGTGTCTGAGTGCCGATTTTCTGTTCTGTTTCTAGGGTTTCAGAAGCAACGTTAGACACTTTTTTGGGTGCGCTTCTCGGACTAGTTCGTCCTTCAGGGCCATGGTGTTTCGGTGTGGCGAAGGGTACGTTTTGGAGGCTTGCAGTACCAGTTGCAGCAGCAGGACTAGCACCACCAGCAACAGCAGCAGCAGCATCGTTTGGCCGTGTCTGAACACCGATTTTCTGTTCTGTTTCTAGTGTTTCAGACGCAACGTTAGACACTTTTTGGGTGCGCTTCTCGGACTAGTTCGTCCTTCAGGGCCATGGTGTTTCGGTGTGGCGAAGGGTACGTTTTGGCGGCTTGCAGCACCAGTTGCAGCAGCAGGACTAGCAGCACTAGCAGCAGCAGCAGCAGCAGCACCATTTGGCCGTGTCTGAGCGCCGACTTTCTGTTCTGTTTCTACGGTTCCAGAAGCAACGTTAGACACTTTTTTGGTGGACTTCGCGGACTAGTTCGTCCTTCCGGGCCATGGTGTTTCGGTGTGGCGAAGGGTGCGTTTTGGAGGCCTGCAGCAGTTGCAGCAACAGGACTAGCAGCACCAGCAGCAGCAGCAGCAGCACCGTTTAGCCGTGTCTGAGCGCCGATTTTCTGTTCTGTTTCTACGGTTTCAGAAGCAACGTTAGACACTTTTTTGGTAGGCTTCTCGGATTAGTTCGTGCTTCAGGGCCCTAGCACCAGTTGCAGCAGCAGGACTAGCAGCACCAGCAGCAGCAGCAGCAACAGCAGCAGCAGCAGCACCGTTTGGCCGTGTCTGAGCGCCGATTTAGGGTTTCAGAAGCAACGTTAGACCTTTTTTGAGTGCGCTTCTCGGACTAGTTCGTCCTTCAGGGCCATGGTGTTTCGGTGTGGCGAAGGGTACGTTTTGGAGGCCTGCAGCAGCAGTTGCAGCAGCAGGACTAGCAGCAGTTAGAAGTTTTTCGGTGGGATTCTCGGACTCGTTCAACGTTTGGCCGTGTCTTTGTGCAGTGGCAGCAGCAGCAGGTGCTCGGACTCGTTCGTCCTTCAGGAACGTTTGACCGTGCAAATCATCACTGATGGGTTTGCCATCTTTCTTGGCTGCAAGTCTTGCCAGCAGGGGTTTTGTGTTTTACTTGAATTCGTCCGGCTGCCGCCGATGACAATACGATAGTCCCGCATCTAGGGCATGCGTGTTTGTGGACGCGACCTGACACAACGCCAGCATGAACACGAAACTCATTGCCACACGCATGACGGTGATCAACCTGACCAGTTTTCACTGTGCTGGCCACAGCAACTGTACAGAATGGGCACGTGTACTGGTAGCGCTTAGACTCCTGATTGGCTACTGACACAGCCTGCAGCGGAAAATCTTTTCCACCAGGTTGCTGGTGCGCGCCTTGTTGTCGTGTAATCGTTTCCTGCGGGCGACGGAGTCGCTTGCGAAGAGGCTCCAGTCGGGCCACTGCTGACGTGGCACTAGTGCGTTTGTTTCTGTGCTCGGCGATTGCTTCCCATGTCTCACGGAGAATTTGTCGCTGGCGAAGCTTTTTGCGCAGAGGTTCCAAACGCTTTGTACTGGCTGCTGCGGCGCGTTTGCGCATGGTCGCCTGCGCTGTGATTGCATGGCATGCGTCGCATACTTGTGTGCCATTTTGGCTGGACAGTCGTTGCTTGCAAAATATAGCAAACTGCAACATTGGCTTTCGTTTCTTGCATGCTGCACAGACCCACTGTCCACGTGTCTTTGTTTGGCATTGCAAACATAGTCTTTGTTCTAGATTCCTTGCATTCCACGCGGCGGAGCTAAAAGATTCGCGCGTCTGCTTTCTCTGACACAGACAACATTGTTTCTTCGCGTCGCATGATAGACAAACGCGGTACATGCTCCACCGTGGATTGTGGTGCTTTGACGCAAAGTGTGTTACAGCGTGCCACAGGCCGCACTGCGTGCATCGATAAGGTGTTCCTGCCTCGCGCTTCTGCGTGGTGCATTCTTTGCAGACCCGATAGGTGTCTTGTTTCCACTGCGCTTTGGTGAATGCGTCTTTGCGTTTCATCTCCCCACATTCATGACATGGCCTCTCATCCAGATACTTCTTGCGCAACGCATCCCAGTCCACCGGCTCCTGCTTCCACACGTCAAGAAGAAGTTGCCTTCCGAGCGGCAGGCCCTCCTGAAAAGGAGCCAGCGGGAACGGTCGATAGATCAAAATCTTCTGCCGTGTGCGGCAGCGCGTCATCCCAATGTAAGCCGCTATTGGGTCTGCACCGATCATGTCCACAATCACGCCTGGCTCTATTGTGCTACCTTGCGCGCCATAGAACGTATCCGCGAAGTCGGGGGCAATGGGAAATTGATAACGCGTCACTTTCAATTGTGGGTTAGCGCGGCCTGCGTCCAAAAACCACAGTCCACTTTGCACGCTGACTGGGAAGACGTTTTCTTGATCGATTCCTGGGATAGTCCACCGTGTACGTGTTTCAAAACGCGCAAAGATATACTCGGGAAGTTTGTTCCAAATGACTGCTCCGTCTGCCGATGCTGTTTCTGTTTCGACGCGAGACCACCCGCAGACTGTTCCATGGCATCCTTTCAAAATCTTGAACTCTTTTCGGTAGAGATGTTCTCGCGCTTGCACTGGCATACCCATGCACAGCGGAAGGACACCGTACCGGTTGCCGCAGTCAGCGTCGCTGCGCTGCAGCCATGTGAGCTTGTCGTGGGCGATGTCGGGCTTCTCGTGCAACGCTCGTGCTGAGACTTTGTCCGTAGCCACTGCATAGTAAATGACTTGCCCACGCTGTCGCGCCCATTGTTCCGCGCGAAGTTTGTTTACGTGGCACTTCACCCCGTTCGTATGGAAAATACCTCGGGCCAAGCTGAAACCCTCGGCAAACCGAGGATCGTCTGGAGCCACCGCAACCAAACGCTTACTTTCTCGTTCAGCGCGGCAGCCTGCACATTCGTATTTGCGAATTGCTGCTGGCGTCGAACCGTTCTTGTACAAGCGGTAGCATATATTTTCTCCGCAAGTAGGCTGTTGCGTTCGTGCGCACCAGCTTCCCGGAACTCTTGTGGGTTGGCCGTGTAGGAATGCATGGTTGTCTTCGGATAGGCGTCCGATGCGAAGTTCGCCTTGCAGCTCCTGCAGCCAGACATCTTGCGTTCGTTCGCACCGTGTTAGTTCTGTAACCCCCTGTAGGCCACCTTGCACTTTGGAAGACCATACAATCTGCTGGCCCTGCAAGCTTAGTGGCAACTTCTTGGATGGAACGCCTGTCACCAGGTGCCAAGGAATTTGACCGAGAAATGTTCCACGTGGTGGAGGTAGCTGCCATAGGTCGCCCGAAAGAATGACGTTGAGGCCCCCGAAAGGCGCAACGGAGGTAGGGGTACGTTTGCCATATTTTGTGGCAGATATATCTAAGACAAGTTGCCGACAGCGGGCTTCGAGACGCGCTAACATCTCCGCACTTACCATGCTGATTTCGTCAAGAAGAAGCCAGCGCCACTGAACGGCTTGCCGTGCCAGGTCCAGAATCCGTTGCCCAGCAACATTGTGATCGTTGCCGTGCCACGACAGCCCGAGAGCTTTGTGGATCGTCTCACCATCCAAGGGTTCAGCATTTACAGCTTGGAATGCAACAACTTGAAATTCTTTGCCTGGCGTCCAGCCCAGACATTTTTCGAACAAGTCCCGCCGCAATATGTTCAGCACGTACGATTTGCCCGTGCCCGGCCCGCCGTGCAATGCCCAGCGAAGAGCCTCCGTGTTCGTTTCGGCTGCCCCGCCGCGATCTTGCCCCGTGGCTGCTTCGTGCTTGACCCGGGCACAAACGGTTTCAATGAAGGATAGCTGCTCTGGGTTGCATTGCTTTGTCTGACGTAATTCTTGGCAAAATTGGTCGACTTTCTGTCTTGTCTCTCGTGCTTCGATTTCACACACGCTTGGCCGCGAGTCATGTGTCATCTTTGTGTTTGCGTTGTTGCATTTGCTCTCTAAAGCCTTCAGCCCTCTTCGGACTGCCTTCGCATCCTGGGCTTCGAATGGATTGACGGCTTGCCAATTCTTCCGGGGTCGGCGGCAGGGGCGGCAGCCCTTAAATATACATATTATGTATATGTATATGTTGATGTTGATGTTGATGTGAGCAAAAAAATGTTGCGAAAACGGGTTCTCGTGACAGTGTCACGCTGGAGCTCTGAGGATCCCCAACTGATCCAGGGCCAAGAGTTCACCAAAGCGCCGCTGCTGCACCTTCTGCCGAGCCTGGAACAAGAAATCGCCGCGGCACAGAAGGGTCACATCCAAAATCCATTTCTCCAAAGGATATTAAATATGGATAAATATGGATAAATATGGATAAATAAGATCAAATCCGCCACCCCAGCCGACATATAAGGCAGGTTGGGCAGGCTGGTGCCTGTGGCGTACATTAAATAAGGATAAGGTAATTCTCCATCCACATCCATAATATTCCATAATCGCCATATATATCGCCATAATCATCATTCATCATCCATATTGATGGGTTCCTGTCCAGCTCATCATCGCCTGTTGAAGCGGCATTCCACCAAGATGTCCCGGCCAATGTAAGCGCGAATTGGTGTCACCCAGCCACACCACATGGTCATGATCCTAGGTAGTGCGTCAGTTGAAGCTGAAGATAAATGATAATAGCATATAAATTAATAGCCTGATAACAGCATAGAACTCGGTTGTATCCACCACATTGTGTTTCATCAATGCTTTCATAGCAGCTAGTCCACATTTCTCAATTTGTGAATTTTGTACGCTTTCTGCTTTGGGCTCCAGCTAGAATTCGTGTGCCCGAACGAGTAGACTGCGCTGACCTGAATATCTACACCGTTTAAATCAGTACGGCAATTGAACAGGTGAGAAAAGCTGTCTTGAGCTTTGCAACATCTGGCAATGCCTTCATTTCCAAGAGCAATTGCATGAGCTCATGGAAATTGCAAAAGCTGCATCAGTTGCATCAGGTGCAAACTTGAGAAATGGAAAGTTGCACAGCTGCCCTAGGAATCCTCACCCAGCTTCCAAACCTCCAACACTGTTTGACCTGGCTTCAGGTGCCTCCTGTGGCAAGTTCCACAAACAGAATATTCACTGGAAACAACTTCGCCAACATAATGAACTTAGTGAACTCCTTCCACGCTCTCAGATCGCGATCGATTGCAGTGAGGTTTGGGTCTCAACACAACCTGTCTTCTGCAGTAGTTGGATTCTGTGTCGAGCAGATTTGCATTCCTTTGACCAGCACACACTTGGTGGCAAAATTAATTTGGGCCAGAGCGAGGCGATTGTCGGACAATAACAACTTAACTTGACATGTTCATGAATTCTTTGTGGGTCCAAAAGAGGTTGCGATTCCAGCCAACAGAACTGCAACTTCCCCTGTCCTCTGTGGATGTGGGTGCCGGGGCCGCCTGTCCACTCCGCACCCGTGCTAGCTGAGCTCGCAGTCGAGCAGCAACACGCCTCATTCCCTCATCTGCCTTAGGTTCGAAGTCTCCATGGACTCCATGGACCATCGAAACATTCGAAACATTGAAAGGGAAGGAGGAACTCGGAGGAAATGGAAGAAAAAACTCAAATAGACACCCCGAATCCCACAGAGATGCGCCATAGCTCCAGATTCGCAATACGGTCTTTGTATGTGTTTGATCTCCAAGTTGCTCGAACGTCCTTGATACTGGCCTGGCGCAGATTACACGTATCAAGGTGGAGAGGGTCAGCCACAGCCATGATTTTAGAGGTACTAGATGGATCTAGATGGTACTAATACTAGTAGCATCTGGTTGGATCGCAATATGTTGCAAGGAGATTTGGGGCATTACGGCATTAAGTTCAAATAGACCAACCCTTCAGGACTAAATTCACATCGGGGATGAATGGAGCCAATCTGCGCAAAGAAATCCGCACGCTCTCCATTTTCAGCTGCGTCAAAGATGCAGTCCTTCTTTTACCATGGAAGATGAGCTGGGCTCATATTGATTTGTTGCGCTTTGGGTGGGCATGGGTTTCTTTATTTTACACTTAATTTACGTGTTCTTCGATTTGTTCCATACGCATCAGAGTCATCAAACTGTGAAACGCTCAAGCTCCAGGAAACTATGGACATGGTGCGCACAGCATCAGGTGACGGTCAACTTCTTTGGTGCCGATGTGTAACCCGATTGCTTCATGGTCATGGCCGCATAGTGATCCACCTGGTCCGGTGACTTTCTACGCTCCGCATCTGGGATTCAAATGTTTTTGCCCTTGAAAGCACATCAGTCTGCAAGTGCGCCCAAGGCGCAACTGCACTTTAGTATACCTTGACAATCCTCGTTCCTCAGTTACTTCATGGTTTCAGTGGTTTGGCTACATGTCCGCCATGCCACATTGCCCCAGAAGTCGGGATCATCAAGGTTGTATCCTGGCACCAAGATGCACAACACTGACAACACGCACACCCTGGACTGAACCTCTCCTTTTTCATTTCAAAGAAGTCGCACTAAGACAGGACAGAACCCTTTCAAGATGCAAGTCCTTTGGGTACACTCTGCTTGTCTCAGAAACTGCTATGCCCAGTAAGCAGCTCTTTCTCCAAGCGACGTGTTGCAAATTCAAATGTCAAACAACGACGTACTCTTGGGATTTGACCAAATGTCAATTTCAGCCTGCACGAAGGAAGTTCCGCGCCCCATTGAGGCCATCGAAGCGCTGCGGGCCGAAGGGTCCCAGCTCCTGTGGACTTTGGCAGGCTTCAATCACGTCATCTTCATCATCATCATCATCATGATGATAATCATAGTCTTAGTCTTAGTCATAGCCAATAATCATGTTCATAGTCTTATATAATTATAAGTTATAATCTTAGTGTTAATCATAGTCAAAACAGTAACAATCATCATAAGCTGTGTCGTCATCACTTCCATGCGTAGCACAGGGTCAACCGCCACCTTGACCATCAGCTTGTGCTGCCACACTTCTTTGAAGATACGAGTCCATGATCCTGGCAAGTCTCATGACTTCTGCCTATCGGTTCCTGGGTTATATGCATGGTGCTGATGTCATGTCCATAGGTAATGGCAACGGAGGGGAAAAACAGCTCTCAACTGCTTTACTCGTAGTAGCTGGACAGAGAAGAGTCTGCTTCAAGCTGTTGCAGGAATGAATCTCCGATCCTCTTGAAGGCCAACACAGCAAGATCAGGTTTGATTCCCACTCAGAACAAAAGCGAAAGATCAACTCACATCTTCGGGTAACCAAAACTGTCCCAACATTTTCAAACAAATTGCAGTGTTGAGAAAGTTGAGAATGGCAACGGTTGGCACCGCCGTTGCCCCACCTGGTTCTCGAATCTTCGTGAGGCGCACCGAGAGGCAAGGGCTGTACATATCGCCTTTGGCTTGGCGCCTCGAGGGGCCGGTGAGATGATGGATGGCGCCAGTAGCTTTGGAACCGCTTCTGGTTGAAACAAAACATTTACCCACTGGTAAACTAACATAACTATGGAAAATCACCATTTTCAGTTGGTAAAATCCACTATAAATGGTCATTTTCAATAGCTATGTTAAATTACCAGAGGGTACCCCACAAAAGAACAAACAAACAAACAAACAACTCTTCAGGGCAATGCAGTCGATGGATGAGTGCTCAGATACTGCTTTGCAAACAAGTGTTCACAGATATTTGGCCCTAGTTTGTTGATTTGCCACTGAAAGAAGTCCTCAATGAGGAGGTGCCAGATCCAAAAAATACGTGCATGTCCCACAAGTCCTTTCCAAGCCTATAAATCAATCAACGTGATAGTTGTGACATGTTGTGACCTACTCAATCGATAAATCAGTCGAACCAACTCCCACAATTTGCAGTTCTACAACGCGTTGCCACCTCCTCATCGGATCCGATGAAGAAATTCGGAACGTGCTGGACATGGCCTCCACCTCAGCGGGTGAACCTGCTGAAACCTTACCAAGAAAATGTCTGCTTGATGCTGGTTGATGCCTGGCTGATGCCTGGTTGATACATTGATGTGCCTTCAAAATCCCTCTCGCAGATGATTGCAAATGTGTTGTCTTGATTTAATTATTTCCTGTGTGCTTTTGCAATGAACATCGCAACTAGATCACTCTTTGGGGTTGACGCTAAACGCATCATGTAGGACATGTAGGATGTCAATGTAGGACCATCACGACCAGTGATCCAGACAGGATTAGCCCGGCCTTGCCATCCAATTCCGCCCATACAATGGGATTCATCCGATCTCCCTGGAAGAAGATACATACCTCAGGACAATTCAGGACAAAAAAAAGGACACATAAATTACCCACGACTAGAAACAGTTCTACACAATGTTGTCATGGAAAAAGGATTTCGAAAAACTATAGAACCATTGACATGCCTGTCGTCTGGCCTGCTTTTTCACTCAGGTTGGGCTGCCAAGGCAAAATCATAGCAGTCGAGACACCGCATTGGGCCAGACATCTGTCGCCATCAAAGCCTCCAAAGGATACCGCGCGCGGAGTTCCTCGAAGCCTTGGATGACATCGAGAGACCCAAATTGGACAAAAAATCCAATGTTGACCCCGTTTTGAGATGTAGACCCAATGGGGTGAAAAATTAGATAAATTAGTCAAATAGCTATGGGCTATGGGTTAAAACTTGGGTAACCCAAAAAATAACCAAAATCTGTAGCATGATAGGTGTGATTTTATTGAGCCAAACCCACGTATTGTGCACATTGCCTTTAATACACTATCTTTGTAGATTCGATGTTGCAAAACAGCGACAATAGATGTCCTGATCTGTGGTGTGTACATCTGTAATGGCTAGTTGCCAGAGGCGACAATGCGACATTCCAACAACAGGCAGCACTTCAGAATGGTTTCACAGTGTCAGGAGCAGCAGTTCGCTCTCCTACGCTTGGGCAAAAAGACACGATACATACAGATGTCGCAAACAGCAGCTCAGCAAGGCCTGTCACGTACGTCCTCCACAGCATCACTATACGATTATCATGCTATCATGCTAAGTAACACATCTTTGTGTATATCATAGTACTACTTTTTAGTGTCCTTCCTTTACCTTGTAATCATTACTGGTTGACACTCCTCAAGCACTGTGACTTGTGCCAAAGAGCGTTGAAGTTCGAAGTGCACCTCGATGGTCACTGTGAAGTCATCCTGTGGGCGACCGCCGGGTCCGTGCGCAAACTCACTGGATCACTTTATGATCTTTACGACCTCATTGGAGAGCCTTGTGTGAGTCCAGCCAAGCAAACTTGTGCTGTTGGAGTCTGGTGGTAGGTGTCGGAACTGCTGCTCTCTTGTGCTCTCTTTTGGACAGGCTGCAAAGACACTCTGAGCTGGCTTTTGCTATGGCATACCATGACCATGCTTGGTATGCAGAAACAGTCTCTACTACCCCGAACTCAAATCCGGACAAGCTGTCTCTGACTCTTGGGACGACACTGAACTGTGTGCCCTCTGGTGATCGCAGACACAAGTGGATGGGATTCAGGGATTCACGGCAAAAATCCTGCTCCAGTGGAATCTACTTCACGGCAATTCTATGCAATTCTGCTTCATTGCCCTTCCCCTAGTCTCCTGCTGCGCCGTGAGTCCCAAGCAAAGGTCGTGAGCTGCACAAATGTGTCGCTCCTTGGAAGCAAGAGGCAAGAGATGTGTTGATTGGATATAATTTAATTGGTAGCTCACAAAGAATATCATGGTGAGATGGGGTCAACCTTCTGTCGAATCTGTTTCTATGTAGACCCTACCATTTAATTTTATGCAACTTAATATTGTGTATTGCGTATGCTTTGACCATGAATCGACATCCAGATGGGAGGCCTGCAATCTGAGCAACTCAGGACGACTACGTGAGACTGCACAAGTTTTTGTTTATGCCTGCACTGGCACTCCCGAAAGTCGTATGTTCAAACTTCGCAAACTGGAGAACCGAAAGTGATCAACAGGAACAACATCTATCGCAACCTCTGTTGCCTCAAACCGTCTCCCTGACTGAGTCCACGGATTTGTCCTAAAATGGACTGGTCCTATTCAATTCCTTCAACACATTCCAACACTGTCTTTTGGATCACTCTGGGAATCTGAATCTGGGAATCACGCAGATTGCAATGCAAAAACTCCACCAGCTGATAACTCCTGGCTAAGTTATCTCAAAGCTCTCTGACTACGAGAAGGCTACAAGGATCAAATGAGTCCGGCAAAGCGTGAACTTGCCACAGATAAAGCTCGCACTTTACATTTAACATCATTTAACATCATTTAACATCATTTAACTATTTTACTTTGAAAACCACATCATCTCATGTCATCCCATGGTTTCAGGATTCCTTGGATTCCCAAAGATCACTTCAAAAATCGTGTCCTCGACGGTCCCATCTGGCCGCAGCTCGCCAGGCTCTACGGCCGGACGGCCCGGCGACACCTCTTCCAAGTTCTCCTTCGCAAAAGAATCCCTGATTTTTTGCGTCAAATCGGGAAAAAAGATGAAAAAAACACCATGGAATGCAAGAATACCCAAAGCTTGATCAAAAACCTTCTTGCGTCTGGCTTTGCGGCCTAACCTTGAGCATCCAATAAGTACAAAGTCAAGAGGAGAAAAGGCTGTAGACACTATCAGACACTGTCTGCGAGCGGATCTTGCCCAAAACTGATGTGAAACGTTGTGGAACGCTGTGGCTGTCCTCCTTCGGTGCGGCCTGGCTGATTCCATTTAGACTTGACAGTCCGACTTTAAGGCAAAAGCACACTGCGCACCGAATGCATTCTTGTCACAAGTCAATGTTGTAGAACACCTGCTGAAAGACTGAAGTTTCACTATATAATTGAGATAAAAAATTACTTTACTTCGTGTGATCCCCACCATGACATGTCAGGACATGTCAGGACGTATATTTGGACAAATCTTGAATATATTCTGACATTCTATCTGACATATATTCTGGCATTCTATCTGGCATTCTATCTAGGTTATCTAGCATTCTATCTGACATTCTATCTGGCATTCTATCTGACATATGTTCTGGCATTCTATCTGGCATTCTATCTGGCATTCTATCTGGCATTCTATTTGTCATTCTATCTGGCATTCTATTTGCCATTCTATCTGGCATTCTATCTGGCATTCTTTCTGGCATTCTATCTGGCATTCTTTCTGACATATATTCTGACATTCTATCTGGCATTCTATCTGGCATTCTATCTGGCATTCTTTCTGGCATTCTATCTGGCATTCTTTCTGACATATATTCTGACATTCTATCTGGCATTCTATCTGGCATTCTATCTGGCATTCTATCTGGCATTTTATCTGGCATTCTTTCTGGCATTCTATCTGGCGTTCTTTCTGACATTCTTTCTGACATTCTATGGTCGTGGTTGAGGTCCGGCAGGGAACACTGGGCGTGGATGGTCGTGGTTGAGGTCCGGCAGGGTGGATGGTCGTGGTTGAGGTCCGGCAGGGCGCGGATGGTCGTGGTTGAGGTCCGGCAGGGAACACTGGGCGAGGATGGTCGTGGTTGAGGTCCGGCAGGGAACACTGGGCGTGGATGGTCGTGGTTGAGGTCCGGCAGGGAACACTGGGCGCGGATGGTCGTGGTTGAGGTCGGCAGGGAACACTGGGCGGGCATGGTCGTGGTTGAGGTCCGGCAGGGAACACTGGGCGTGGATGGTCGTGGTTGAGGTCCGGCAGGGAACACTGGGCGTGGATGGTCGTGGTTGAGGTCCGACAGCGAACACTGTGGATCGCGAGTCGCAGTTGAGCAGGAGGACGAGGACGACGAGGAGGACGAGGAGGAGGAGGAGAGGAGGAGGACGAGGAGAAGGAGGAGGAGGAGGAGAAGGAGGACGAGGAGGCAACTGACATAAAATCTAACAACCCTCACCTGGCAGGTGGGGAATAACACCTGCAACTCCGAGTTCAGAGTCCATCGGGAACCAATCAAGAGAAACGACCACACTGCCACACCTCCGCATAGCCCATGCCATGCCCAGCGCCATTGTGATTTGTACCCCTCTTTTCCATCACTTTCGTCCAGGGAAAGGCATTCCGCCTGACCAGGACTGGATGAAAACGTTCGAAAATTCGAGCCATTGGATGCCACTGGTTGCCTGAACATGCCCCTGTTGGGTCCGGCGAAGGCATGTTTCCAAGAGTTCAGCGTTCCTCCGGTGCGGCAGATGGTCACCAGAGGTTGCTTCAAACCCAGTACACATTCCAAAGGTTTTTCATCCTGCAAGTTAGAGGTACCCGGCACCAAACCAAACTGTGGGAACATCCCTGCAAATTTTGATATCGTACTTGCATTTAAACATGGAAAGTAAAGATACTGACTTCTCCACTGCTCATCGCAACTCCATGTTGCTCGATTAAAATTATAGATATAGAGACGTGATGCAAGAATCAGCCACAGAGTGCAAAGAAGCGTCTCTTGAAAAGTCGAATGATGAGAGTCTCATCCTCGACAACCCACCTTGTCCATTGGAATGGTGCTGTGCATGAGTTAAGTAGCCTTATCATCCCCTTTCCAACTGCTTCTAATGATTCCAATGAATGAAACAGTCTAAATGGGAGTCTTCCCGAATGGAAACACATGCCGACTTTGGACCTAGTTGACGCGCCTCTGTCAAAATCACAATGTGGGCAAATATGGGGGACGATTCATTATCGCAACACGGATGTTACATGTTGTTGCTATAGAATGGTCTCTTTCAAGCACCCGAACCGAGGGAATTGACAAAGGTATCTTTCTGTGTACTTTGCAGCGGATTGATAGCATACAAAGCACTAACTGTTGCGGTCTTCGCACGCGGTGCAACATCATCACTGCAACAGCAATGGCCAACTAAGCGGTCTACGCTGCAGGTTGCGGATCCAATTGCCCAAATACAATCAAAAACATGGCTAGCTGGTAAAACCCCTATAAACGGAGGTTTTAACGGGAAATTAATCGAGGGATATGAGATTGCTCAACACACTTTTTGCATCCTAGCAACCAAGACTTGAAACGGAAGATATCTCCAGCCAAGTCCCCAGTGAGAGGTTTGAAGATAGTGCCATTCAATGTCACCTCGGGGCGTAAAGATTTGAGTTCATTAGATCAATTGGCATTTCCTCACACACTTGTTGCACATGTTGATGTATCCACTATGGCAAGATTGAAGATACTCACGTGAGTACTCATCTAGGCAGAAATGTCTTGTGTGTGTGCATGTGTGTGTGTGTTCAAACAATAGAATTGAAGGCAAGGCATAGGGTCACAAAAAATGCCCTATAAGGTCTTCGTTTGTTCTTTGACAGTAGACACAGCAAGTGCAGGAAGGATGGCCCCGCATTTGATTTGACAAATTGGATCGGGTGCTATACTGCCGGAGGTATGTTTGCACCTGGAAGCAGTTATGTTCCCCCCTTTGAATTATCAGGTATAGCCCTTACATTTGGTTTCAAATGGATTGTAACCACATCAGTGGCATTGGATCATGCAACTCTTTGGCTTTGGATGTGTCGTTGCCAGCCCGTCTGCAATTCCCGGGGGGGAAAGGCGGAAGGGGGATTCTGCGGAGCTTATGCTAGCATGTTGCTTATTATTCTTGTGTGTTGATGCTTGAAGTGTTCCCCTCGCCGTTTATGTTTTTAAAGGGTGTTGCATGGATTTGTTGTGCTATGCTAATTCTGATTGATGTTGTTTATGAGGGGCTAACTATTGGTTGTTGCATGTAGAGGTTTGTTCAAGTTTACTTGGTTGTTGATATAGTGTTAGTGTCTGCACATAGCATATGACCTAATCATACACTTACCTGCAGGACATGTTGCGTTCACATTTTGTTGGCATTCAGTTCTTCCCTTTTGTTTTGGTAGTATTCCTTTGATTTCAGTGATATTTATTATTCATGATTTCTGGACCAAGGTCCGTGTTCTAAACATACAGTAATTGCACTTGGTATTATTTTCCTCAACTGATGTAGTCATCTAAAGAATCTATACTTGGAACCTTGCCTTGCTTCAGACATACAGTACATCTCAAATGGTAAAACAGTGTCTTTTCTTTTGGTGGTATTTGGCATTAGTTTGCTGATTAGTGCATACATCATCATACATCTTCACAATGCGTTTTGTTTAGAATATCATGAAGCAATTCTTCTGCTCTCCAGTGCACCAATTAAATTTGATGCAAACAATGTTGAGGTGTACAGTTGCCAATAGTATTGGGTTTGTGCTCATTCCGTGGTATTAGTATATATTATATTGTGCCTTATATTATTATTATATACACATATATTATTTATATTATCTGTGTGTATATACTATATATATATATTCATTCACAGTAGTTCTCTACCACGCTCGATGATGATACATCGCTTGGATGATGTCAAATCTGGCATACCAACATTTTGGGGGAGGCTGCAAATGCAGACCATCAATATCGACTTCAGGACATAAGTGTTGGTGCCATTCGGTACCTAGGTTTCGGGTCCAAGGCTGTAACCTCTAGGCTGTTGGACGACATCTTTACCTGGACCTCCTCGTTGCTCCATGTTTTCCTCAGGATCGGCTTTCCCAGATAAATTCTCAGAGTGCATCAGCTTGATCAGACCTGCCATTCCTTTCAGCCTCTATCAATTTGCAAATGATTCACGTTCATCAATAGTAATGAACAGTCAGAGATGGACGAGATAACAGAAATTAGCAGAACCTCTCTGCTCATTCTCATCGTTTGCACAACTAAGCACTCAATTCTGACCGGCGTCCTCTCGGGCAGCGCGCCCTGGCAAGGACAGCTGTGCCCAGCTGAAAAATGTGCCCAGCCCGGAAAGTTCTCACAGCAACCCGCCTCGAGGCGGTGAGTCAAGGTCAGCTGCCCCATACTCTGGGCCCATTCCACCTCCAACGGCCAGCGATCAAAAGCTTCGAGGCACTTGGATGCCATGGCTGGATACTCCTTGAGATCTTCGATATTCAAAGTCCGAACTCGTCCATGTCAAGGAATCACAAGAAAAATTCATGGCCATGTTGAGTTTGCAAGCAGGACGCACTCCCCTGCCCATCAACTCCACCACTGCCATGGCTGTTGAACCTCAGCCACAGTAGGTGGCCACTTACACCGTGCCATTACATCAGGTTGACGGTTGGACTTATTGAAAACCGGGCATCAAAAACTGGTCCACCTTCGAGACTTTTTTTAAGGTAATAATGCACAGCAAGAAATCAAATGTCCTTTTTGTATCTTTTTGTCATCTTTTTCCTGACACTCCTCCACTCCATGAAGTTGTAGCGTTGACTGCAAGCGTCAAAATCTGACAGATTTCCTTCGCTCCAGGTTCCCAGCGGAACAGGAAAACTCCGTAGCTGGCATGGAGCAACATTGGTCAAAGGCCGGGCAGCCTCTCAAAAAGCTGAGCTACAGCTACTAGTACGGCCTATGAGATTCCTATGGTATATTCTACAACCTGTAATTAAGATCATATTAGATCCTACAGTATCATTCTGTTCACAAGAGCTGCGGAAAGATCAAGAACACCCTGAAACCAGCTAATGAAGGAATTAAAAGTGCGTGAATCTGCTAAATCTTCAATCTCATGGCTTGTGTTCCGTCCCGATACTTGGCATTGTGGTCCATGAAAGCCTCTACACCTGGCAACAAGCCTCTGCAACTTCCATGGCCGCGCAGCCCACCAGCCCGCGCCCCACAGAAGAGCCAGGCTCGGCTGCAGGCAAAATTGGGGCCCAGGCAGCACAAGAAATTTCATGAAATTTCTGGGAATGAAATGAGACATAGGACCTATAGGACAAGCAGAATCATCATGACTCAAGCGACTCAAGCAAAAAGCTGGTCACACCATGTCACACGACCCTAAGAGAGGGTCCATGGTCACTTGCGACCCTAAAAAACGGTCACTTGTGACCCTGAAATTCCCGGTCACTTGTGACCCTAAAAAACGGTCACTTGCGACCCTATTCCTTTAAAAACTCTCACCCCACCTGCGTTCCACCATGCAATTGTCTCCACTATACCATTGTCTCCATTCTATTTCTTCATTTAAGCTTCCCCTCAGCCATTTAGGGTTTGGTTGGGGGGGAGGGGTTATTCAACTTAGATCATTACTTGACTCAGCCATTTAGGGTTTGGTTGGGGGGGAGGGATCATTCTACTTACATCATTACTTGACTCAGCCATTTAGGGTTTGGTTGGGGGGGAGGGATCATTCAACTTAGATCATTACTTGACTCAGCCATTTAGGGTTTGGTTGGGGGGGAGGGATCATTCTACTTACATCATTACTTGACTCAGCCATTTAGGGTTTGGTTAGGGGGGAGGGATCATCGTACTTACATCATTACTTGACTCAGCCATTTAGGGTTTGGTTGGGGGGGAGGACTCAGCCATTTTTGGTTGGGGGGGAGGGATCATTCTACTTAGATCATTACTTGACTCAGCCATTTAGGGTTTGGTTGGGGGGGAGGGGGGGGGATCATTCTACTTACATCATTACTTGACTCAGCCATTTAGGGTTTGGTTGGGGGGAGGGAACATTGAACTTAGATCATTACTTGACTCAGCCATTTAGGGTTTGGTTGGGGGGAGGGATCATTCTACTTACATCATTACTTGACTCAGCCATTTAGGGTTTGGTTGGGGGGGAGGGATCATTCTACTTACATCATTACTTGACTCAGCCACTTAGGGTTCTTCATGGCAGCGGCAGGGCGCTTCATCACTGTGTTTGCTATTGAACGCAAAAGTTAGTCAGTCGAGTGCTGCGATATGAAGTATAAAGTTACGGTGATACGACATGAAGCAGATTGAAGCCTAATACGTAACTATATGTTTCTTGTTTACGTGATGCTGCACCCACCTTCTGCCTTGGCAAAATGCCACTGCGGACGACACAATACCAAATTTGCCACAATTGAGGACTGCAACTTGGCACATGCGATTTGAAAATTCTTTAGCGCAAGTGCGCGCATGAACTTCACAAACTAATCTTTCTCCCAGGATTTCAGCAATCACTTGAGCACCACAGTGCAACACATTGGAAGGTCACGAGAATAGATAAGATAAGATAAGATGAGATAAGATAAGATAACAAGATAGATAGAGAGAGATAGATAGATAGAGATAGATTGATAGATTGATAGATTGATAGATTGATAGATTGATAGATAGATAGATAGATAGATAGATAGATAAATAAATGACATGTAGCTTCGAAGCCCTTAAACGAAGCTTTTCTGCGAGACTTCCTACAAAAATGAAGCTTCGAAACTCAAACACAAAAACTTTTCTGCGAGACTTCCTTCAAAAATGAAGCTTCGAAGCTCTAAAACGAAGCTTTTCTACGAGACTTCCTTCAAAACTGAAGCTTCCAAACTCAAAAACCTAGCTTCGAAGCCCTTAAACGAAGCTTTTCTGCGAGACTTCCTTCAAAAATGAAGCTTCGAAGCCCTTAAACGAAGCTTTTCTACGAGACTTCCTCCAAAAATGAAGCTTCAAAGCTCTAAAAAGAAGCTTTTCTGCGAGACTTCCTTCAAAAATGAAGCTTCGAAGCTCTAAAACGACGCTTTTCTGCGAGACTTCCTTCAAAAATGATGCTTCGAAGCTCTACCACGAAGCTTTTCTGCGAGTCTTCCTTCAAAAATGAAGCTGCGAAACTCAAAAACGAAGCTTTTCTGCGAGTCTTCCTTCAAAAATGCAGCTACGAAACTCAAAAACGAAGCTTTTCTGCGAGACTTCCTCCAAAAATCATGCTTCGGGCACGATTAGGGTCACAAGCGACCACAAAGGGGCCGCACCATTTTCGTGTGGCAGGTGTGGGACTTCGAGCACACCTGGTCACTTGTGACCCTATCTTTTTTACTTCAAAACGTAGAAACAGTACTTAGGGTCACAAGCGACCAATGTCCCCTAAGAGATCCCCGCCGGGCCCCGCCTCTCCAAGATCCTTAAGTCACATCAAGCCATCATAATCATCATATTCCTGGAGAAGTCCTGACATTGGAAGACACTGGAAATAGAATCCCGAACCTCCTTGCCAGTGGATACACTGGAAGAGTTCTTAGATCTGAGAGCCCAGACTGTGTAGCTCCGAACCACATCCTCAGAATGAACCAACTCATCATCGAAACGGAGCTTGTTCAGGATGGTGCCTGGCAAACTCGGGGCTTGGCCACTATTGTGTTGCAGCCCAGGATGAAGGACAAATGGGTCTTTCCAAGAAGAATCTTCGTAGCAAAAAATGCTCCAAACTCCCCAAACTCCTCACTGCTCTGTTGGGTTCTTTAAAAAGGTTTTCGTGGCTTCTCATCTTGTTACCAGTTGGTTGGCCATAATCTGGCCAGGACGTGCTGTAGTTCTGACATCTGGCAATGTAGTTCTCCTGCCCGGCCAGATGATCTCCAATGGCAATGGAGCAGAGAGCTCCCACATTGGCAACACCAACTGATGATCCTTGTATCACTTATATCACTTATATCATATATCATGGGAGTCTACATTGGACAAAAAGTGAACTATCTAACTGCCCAAACTGTCGCGATCATTTCTCATATCCCACAAGCATCACTGGATAAAAATACGGCTTGATGATGCAGTGGAGCGAACACGAACATGCTGCTCCTGACCAGCTGCCAAGTGAACATTGACAAAGCAGAATGAAGAGCGACCTAGGCGTTCCCACAACTATAGACATTGTCAGAAAGCTGGAGATGTTTTTTACATGTCCGAACATGTCTGGACATCCTCTACTTTCTTGCTGAAAACTGTTTCGATTCCTGGAGTCTGAGTGCCCTGGGCCCAGCTCAAAGCGAACGGCGACAGCACCCTTATTGCCACCATAGCCTTCACAGCGGCAGCTTTTCTTCTGCGAAGAAAGATTTCATCGGGCGAATCTGGGGGAATGACAGACGTGACACACATCCCACCTCCAACTCCAATGCCCAAACTGGTGCATCGGGTGTTTTCCACCAAGGGCGCAAAGCTGCTGCGCACGAAGACCAAGATGAGCCTGGGCTACCAGGCGACCAGTGAGGAGCCAAGAAGCACCGTGTTTGGAACAGCATTTCACACTACACAGTGAAGGCGATGACAAGTGATGGTCCGAGGCCTAATCATCATCCATTCTGCACCAGATCAAACTGCTTACTACCAGGTCACACTACCCGTTACGACCCCATTGACGTCGTTTCAGCGTCCATCTGTGGTTTTGAATTGTAGGGGTGGCACAAACCCACAAGATGCACTGACTCCAAGAGTTGCAGCTCTCCTTCGTAGGCCTCATGGGAGAAGGGTCTCTTGTGGGATAGACTCGGATAGACATTTGTTTGGATGTCAATGAAATATAATGAAATGGGATCAAATCTTCAATCCAGGTGCAAGATGTGCAAGGAGATACTCTTTTTTACATGTATGAATGCTGAAGTACAGTTTGAAGCCCACCATCTTTTGCATTGAACGTTTCGCCACTGTCCAGCGCTAAAAAGAAACAGGCTGAGAAAGAAACCACATGGCCAACCCAAAGAAATAACTTGAATAACTTCAGCTTTGAACTCTTGCAACTCTGTTGGTGAAGACAGTGCTACGTGTGGGACCTACAGTAACTCCTCCCAAATGGGCATGACTTTTTCATGCGGGTCAACGAAGATCCCTCATGTGTCGTAGCACGTCGTTGTACGGATGAAACTCTGCGCGACTTGCCGACATGGAATGTCTCAAGCTGGCCATTGTTAGTCAATCATTCTATCAGATCTGACTGGGCAAACAAGCTGTTAGAAATTTGGTCTTAGCATCTCTGCTTTGCAGAAGAGCCAGCCAAAGTCTGCGAGACATGTACACCACATGTCAACCTCGCACACTTCTCCACTCAGCAAGATGTTCAACAAATCAAACAACTATAAATCAAAAGCTCGGTAGAGGTCCATGGCGCATGGCACAGGTCCGTGGTGTCAATCCACGGCTGCTCGGATCAGAAATTCACACCTGGGCAGCTTCCTCACCTTCCTCTGCTGCTTCCTCTCCTTCCTCCGGGCCCTCCGAGCGGCTGTAAGAGGCAGTCACCTGCTATGCAGCAGCAAAGGTCAGAAACGGTTGCAGCAACTGTGACCATTGAATTGATACATCCGTAAAGCTGTTTGAGTCAATCCTTCTGTCAAAATTTCTTCAGGCTCACGGACTTGCAACAGGTTTCTGCTAGCAGAAAATGTTGGAAATTAGGCAAAGACAAGAATCAGCTGCATTGAGGTGGTATATGATGATATAATATAATTCTGTCAGGCGCAAGCCGTGATTCTTTCGCGTGTCTTTTCTCTTCCATCAAAGCACCATTAACACCTACGTACTGTACCTATCAGACAAGGGAAGCAAAATGGTTTTTATTACGAGCCCGAGGAAGAAACTTGACTCAAATCAAGACCTGACAGAAAAACCAACAAAGAAAGTCTATCAATTGACGACGACGACGGCGGCGACGACAACGACCACCACCCCCACCACAACAACAACAGCATCCACCGGCATCCACCGGCATCCACCGGCATCCACCGGCATCCACCAGCCTCAGTCGCAATCTTTCTGCCCTTTTTGAAGGCTACCCGTCGTGGCGCCGCCAACCCAGGCGTTCGCTGCGCGGAAAGGGCGAAAGGGATCCCCAGCTGCCTCCTCTGACGGCCTCTGACGGTGGTGCACGATGTGCTGGAGGATCCAGCATCTTCAAATGATGCGAAGACTTGCAAGGAACACAACAGGAACTTTGATGGAAATAGATTTGGAGTTCTTTGCCTCAACTGCAAATGTTCAAAGGCGTCAAGGCAGTGGAAGTCCTCCGGAACAACAGGTCTGAGGAACACTCATCACAATAGAATAGATCATGGGTCTGCTGTCTACCACCCTCCTCTCTCCAGCCCAGCTGCCACGTGGCTCCGAATAGCAGCATCCACTTGCAGCAAGCCACAGGCAGCCATTGCCTTGGCCATGATGCCATGGTTTCCCATGGTTTCAAACCGATCAAACCACAACAAATACAGCAACAACAATCTCATTACTACCCCTGTTGGCTCTTTCACATCCTGAATTCCCAAAAACCAACGACAAGTTGAAGTGCTTTGTACATCTTTGATCATCGTTGTGCATCTTCATCTTTGTATTGCTTTCTCATCTGTTGCCTTTTGGGCAACTTTCATCTTTTTATCCCAGAAAAAACATGAAAAAACCATAGAAATCCCCCTGTTTCCTGCCAAGGTCGCCGTCCCCGCCGTCCGCGGCGCGCTCGGCCGTTGCATCGGGGGCGCAGGAGAGGTCGACCACTGAGAACCAAAGCTGCACCAGGACCTAGTGCAACCAGGATCTGACGAGAACACGCTCATCTCCACTCCTCCGTCGGAGGCCTCGGCGGCCTCGGCGCTGTGGAAGGCCTCAGTGGGGCGCGGAGAAGTGGAGGCCTCGCGTCAACAAATGGATGTCATATGATGTCATGCATAGCGGCATAGCATTCGGAACGGCATAGCATGCAAATCATGGAAACCATGCAACGAAAATATCGAAAATCATGAAAGGGTAAGCAAAATGATGATATTGATGAAGGAGGTGGTGCTGATTTTAGATGATTTTGGATGATTGATCAGGGCTCCGAAGTTGCTGTACATTCATGTCGGTAGCGAAGTCTACCACACACCAAGGAGCCCAAAGCTTGGAAGGCCAGCTCCAAACATCCTGCATCCTCAGCAACAAGGCCAGGTTAACTAATGTGAAGCATATCCATCCATATCCCATATCACGTGCCACGTGATCTTTCTGGAAGCAACTTTGGCATTAATCCTTGAAACCCGCAAGCCACATGAGACTTCAGCCCAATCTTGCAGCTTCTGTGCTTTGAGAGGCCCTCAAGCTGGTCAAGTCAAGTAAGTCAAGTGTCAAAGATTCGCAAAGATTCGCAACTTCTCAGTGTGGGAGGCAAGATGGCACGCACCAATGGCCTGAAGAGTTCGAAATCGTTGTTTGACAAACGCGTTTCCGTGATAATCTTCGATCAAGAGTCCTCTATAGATTTTTGAGTATCTAGGTGATATATTTGCCATTCTGAGTAATTCACTTGCCATCACTTGCCATCACTTGCCAGTTGCCTTCACCGGAACTTCCCCGCAAAACGGCGGCCTCGGTGGCTGCCGCGCGGCGTTGAAGCTCACCTTGTGGCAGCGCTTCCTGCCGGTTATGGGAACCTCCAAGTTCACAAACATCAAAATGTTTTGAATGGAAAACATGGAAAATACGGAAAATACGGAAAATATGGAAATCTAATTGTTCAATATTGTTCATCTCCTTGTTGGCTGCGATTCGGCGCCTGGCTGAAAGGTTTCTGTCCTGCAAACCTCTTTGGGCAAGCTCCTGAAGTTCTTCAATACCACCACGCTGTGCCTGGCCAACTCAGCATGCTCGTAGCATCTACTTGCAGCTGTTTAAAGCAATACAAGTAGTATAAAAATGTATAAAATAGATAGTACTATAGTCTCTAGATCTCTCGAGTATCTAGGGTTATCTAAGCGGCTTCAAACGGTGCAGCCGCATTGCCTCACCGAGGGCAAGCCCAGTACATCCAGAATGCATCAATGAACAACAATGAACAACAATGAACAGCAATATCCAATAAGCCAATAAGCCAATAAATCTCAACAAAATAAACCAATAAACCACTGATAAACCACTGATAAACCTCAATCAATAAAGAATACTCTCTTCACACACAGTTTCTCCGGACACAAGGATGGCTGGCTCTGACCAAGTCCAGACCTGCATCAAGAGCTGGAGGGCTTTGTTCTCCAAGTTCCTCTCCTTCAGTTCTCTTCATGTCTTTCTGTTGGCAATCCGTATCCTAGAGTTGGAGCTAAAATCCAAACATGGGCCTGAAGGCCTGGAGGTCGCATGTTGTTTTTCTCAGCAATTGCTTCTGCAAATGCATTACTTCCCAACTACATGCCTCCTCAAGCAGGAGAACAGGAGCTGAACAATTGTCTACAACAAAAATGCATTGGAATTTGCAAAAAAACCTCCTGAAGTCGCTCTATTCAGAGGTTGGCAAAACAATGGCAAATTGGGTGCTGCTGGCTCACTGCTCACTTTCATCCTCCACCCAAATAGTGTCCAGCCTAAATGGCTGCTTCAGCTCTACCAAAAGGGAGGACACGAACTGTGGCACTTGAGCAAAACCTTTCTTTGCCAGTTCTTGTCGCATTTGCTCCAACAGATCTGCATACGTGATCTCTGACCCTGACCCTTCCATCACTTCCATCCTTTCCAAGGCCTCCACAAGGGCAGAGGTCAAGGCACCCCCTGCTGAGCCAATGGTACCAGACAGGCCGAAGGAGGTCTCTACATCCGCCACGTCGGCACTGGTTTGGTCGGAGCGGCAGCCAGAGATGGCCACAACTTCGCCCACGGCGAGGCCTTGGTTTTCAGCCTCGTCCATCACGAAGCCGGTGGCAGAGCCATCCTGATACATCTGCCAGGCATTTTTCCCAAGGGAACCCACATCACTAAAGAGTTCCTTGGAAGACCCTGCCGCCCACTTTTCTAAGTCGGATTTCCATCTCACCTCCATGGCCATCCTCACCACTTCACCTGCCATGGCTTTTTTCAGCTGATCTTCGGTTCCAACGAAGATGTAGGGTAAATTCAAGGCTCCAGCACTATGGCAGCTATCCAGGATGCAGGTGAGTCGACAGCCATGGGGCAAACGTTTCACGACTTTCTCGAAAAGCTCAGTGTCTCGCAACATGCCCGCAGTCTCAAAGTCCAAGGGCACCAGAGTTTCATGATAGCCACCTCCTTCAGCTGGCTCGCGGCCACCATGGCCAGAGTAATGGAGCAGCAGGGCATCTCCTGGTTGAGCATCAGCCACCAACCATTCCAAAGCTTCGAGCATGTTGGCTTTTGTGGGCTTGGGGCCTTCCCAAGTCTCTTCATCCAACAACAGCATCTGGTTCGCATCATCAGAAGCAAATCCCATCTTTTTCAGCACTGGAATCATGCGGCGCACATCATTTGCACATCCATGAAGTTCATTTGAGGTGTTCAAGTAGTTGCAACCCATCAGCAGACTTCTCCGTCTTCCGGTCAAGGCCTGCTGTTTGACCGCTGTGTGTGATGGAGTCAGTGACCGGTTCAGCAGCCCAGGCAGCCCAGCTTCTTCTGCTTGGTGTTCCATGGCCTTGACCACGGTGACAACTTCCTCCAGGTTGGCCATGGGGCGCCCCGAGAGCACAGAGCAAACCTTTCCCATCACCGATTCTTTTTGAGATTGGATCACTTGATTCACTTGAGCAAACACTTCGACGGTCATCGTTTAGATTTGTTCACATGCCTTGCAACATGCCTTGCAACATGCCTTGCAACGAGCTACAATGATGCTACAGGTGCTCCGAAGCAAGTGTCTGGCGACAGGGCCGTCCTTTGTCTTCAGCTCGGTGGACAATTGCCCCACAGCCATGGCAGCACTGCGCTGCAGCAGCAAGTTCCGCTGAAAGCGTTGCATGGCATTCAGCAGTAGCTCCAAACCACCTGGCTTGGTAGCACTGGGGAAAATCGACGAATGACAGGGATGTGGCTTCAGATCCAGATGGGTCGGAAAATGGAGTTACATGGGTTTACCCTCCAAAGTGGCTCTTTCAGTAGGTAAAATGATGATAAACCAGTTCATTTTGGGGTCTGATGTTTGTGACAGACCCAGATGGTCCACTCGAAACAATTTTTTTTAAAGGAACCCTTCCACATTTGGGCAACTCCCAAATCATATCGTCCAAGACACATCACTCCGGAGACCATCTAAATGGTTTTGCAACGGCGCTGCACACTAAAACGAAAGCGCCGTTCCTCCAAGGCCTGATTTGACGTGAAATCTCATGAAATTCAGCGCCATTTGGCCCTTGAGATCGAATCGCCTTATGGTTGGTTGAGATACGTTGAGATGCTTATCATCCAGAAATGAATAATGATGTGATGAGCTGAATCCTGCAGGATCGGAACAAGATTGTACTAGTACATGTTGGCTGAGCCCGTTCCACTTGGTGGCAGAACTGTTCCCACGATGCTTTTCTCTAACCGACTCCAACCCCTCCCGCAGCAAATCTTTGGCGCAGTGCAAGTCTTTCTCCATTGAACCCAGCTGCCTCTGGCGATCGCAGTTGCTTGACAGCGCTCTGGGGCATGGCACTTTTGGAAACACTGTTTGCTTTGCCTTGGCTGAAGCGCTTTCGAACAGAGTCAGCTCAAATGCTTACCTCAAATCACTGGACGTCGATGGCGTTTCATTCGACGAAGACCAAAGCTTTACAGCTTTGGGCCTGTTCATGATGCTAATGAATTGGATCAAGTGGTCACGTGAAATCAAAACATAGAAACGAATCCATCGGTGCAAGCTTCAAATGCCATTTCGGATATTTCGGCAAAGCAAATACATCAACTACCCGAACGAACATCCCTGAACGCTTTCCCGCTCGCTCCAAGGTACGCAGGATCCCTTGGGCACCAGGAGGTGGTGAACACGGGTTCGTTGCCTACGGATGTTAGATGATGTTACAGCATCAAGTTGGATTCGACCAGCTAAATTGCCAAATGGAAAAGATGCGAAAAACCTTGAGCTGTTTAGGATATCCTCTCATTGACTCATTGCATAATCCTTCTGGAAAGACATCAGCTGATCAGAATATCCTGAATTGAGTAGATCTCACGACCTCAACCATTGTGACGAGCCGGCTTCCACGAGCCTTGCAAAAGCTCTGCGCTGACCTCTTCGTTCCCAGCGATCAACCTTAGAATTCAAGAAATGACACCAGTTGCTCAATAGTCTCAATGCTTTTTCCAACATGACAAATCTACCCAAGTCTTTCCTCGAGAGTTTTTACTTCCATGGCAAGTGGCTGCAATCTGCAGCCACCTTCTCGAGCGGCCACGGGCTAAGATCGCCAGGGTGCTGTCGAGATTGATGTCACCTTGGAAACCAATCGGCAGTGCCGGCAATGCCTCTAAGGACCGGTGTGTGACACTGAGGACAACTCCGGGGGAAAACTGGAACTCTGGCAATTCTAGTATTGTGAGACTTGTAAGAAGTCTGATCGAGAAGACAGAACCTTGCGATGACACGAGAAAAAATAGCAGAGAGGCTTGGTCTCAAGCTTTCATCTACACCTTCCAGTGCAAGAGTTTGGGAACAGCTGTCTCCGCTCGCCAAGGCGCGCATGGAATTGGTACGTTCCAGCTTCTGTTGAACCAAACAAACCAGCGTCTTCGGACGACATCATCATCATCATCATCATCATCATCATCACCATCATCACATCATCACATCATGATCATCATCACATTAAAATTCACCACCCACTCTGAACAATATGTTGACTGGGGTAATAACATCAACTTTATCTTCATGAGGAGTCAAAATTTGCCACCCCCTCTGAACGATATGTCGATTGGGGTAATAAGATCAACTATATCTCCATGAGGGATCAAAATTCGCCACCCCCTATGAACAATATGTTGGTTGGGATAATAACATCAACTTTATCTTCATAAGGGATCAAAAATCGCCACCCCTTTGAACAATATGTCAATATGTTGATTGGAGTAATAACATCATCTTTTCTTCATAGCCACCTGAAGTCGGACGCGGCGCAACGTCAGGGTTGCAGCGAACTTGTTAAAACAATCCAGCCAGAACGGCCGTTTTGGAAACGGAGCAATCCTTCCTTGCGGACATTTTCAGCAAGTTCAAGACATTGCGATGTTCAGGCTGAAAACATGGCCTCAAAACGGCTCCATACACTGCCCGTCAGAATCGTGGCAGCTCATGCCTTGGTGACAGTTTAGCACTAACACCCATCACCATGGCTCGTCGTGGGTCACAAATCTGTAGTGCGAGTTCTCATCCAGGAGTAGCACTGCCCCTCGGTTTTCGAATTCTCCGCAGTACTTGGAAGCCATGAAAACCTCTAGCAGCCGATCTTCATACGAACCATGACCCTCTTCCGTGACACGTTGTGAACAGCAAATCCTCTCCAAACGATTCTGTTGCAGAAACTTGTCTAGAACGTCTGGGCCAAAGGTAAGTTCAACGGCTTTGTCGGGGGCTTGCCACCCCTTGATGTCAGCTTCAAAATAGGACCAGCATCCCTACTACCTTAGACGGGGGGGACCTGGAAAATGTAACATACATTTTCCATATGCTCAAAATGCAGGTTTTGGAAATTCTGCATTTTCCACATCTTAAGTACGTAAACTACCATATGTAACCCCATATAGATCTAAGAGACGTAAAAATGTAACGTTACATTTTTAGGTCTTTATAGCCTCCAAGACAGATCAACATACATTCAACATACCTAAAGAAACATGTTACATTTTTTAAATGTAACATGTCCAGTTGAGGTCTCAAGTACGTAAAGATACGTAAAGCCTTTTTTTCCCTCCTTTGTGCCAAGAGCTCATCCGCGCGTGCAACATGCATTCCTACTGGAAAGTAACGTGGGGTTTCTGATAACATCCAAATTTCTGAAAATATTTCCACTCATTTCCAATCCCATTTTTTTCAAGGCCTTTCAAGGCAGCCTTTGAATTACGAATGCCCATGAATGCCCAGACGCCCCACTTTGAGTAATGCAAAACACTAAGTTTTCCTACCCCGGGCCCTGCATCTTAGATTTTCAAAACTTAGGGATTAATAGGTCCAAAATGTAACATGGCACTGGGAGGGCTCCCAAACCCTGCAAAAACCACAGTACTTGCCTACCCTAGCCCCTGCATGTTACATTTTACATCATTTTACATATGCGCACACGCATCGCAAATCTTAGGGTCTTTGGGATTGATAGGTCGAAAATGTAACATGGCCATGGGAGGGCCCCCAAACGCTGCAAAAACACAGTAATTCCCTACCCTAGCCCCTGCATGTTACATTTTACATACGCGCATACGCATCATCGCGCATCGCAAATCGCAGGGATCAACAGGTCGAAAATGTAACATGGCCATGGGAGGGCTCCCCAAGCTTGCAAAACACAGTAGTTTCCTACCCTAGTCCTTGCATGTTACATTTTACATACGTGCACAAGCATCGCAAATCAACAGGTCCAAAATGTAACATGGCCATGGGAGGTCTCCCAAACCCTGCAAAAACACAGTAATTCCCTACCCTAGCCCCTGCATAATACATTTTACATACGCGCATGCGCATCATCGCGCATCGCAAATCGCAGGGATCAACAGGTCGAAAATGTAACATGGCACTGGGAGGGCTCCCAAACCCTGCAAAACACAGTAGTTCCCTACCCTAGCCCCTGCATGTTACATTTTACGTACGCGCACAAGCATTGCAAATCGCAGGGATCCACAGATCAAAAATGTAATATGGCACTGGGAGGGCTCCCAAACCTCGCAAAATACAGTAGTTTCTTACCCTAGTCCCTGCATGTTTCATTTTACCTAAGTGCGCACACATCTCATCGAGCGTGAAATTTCTTGAGGCGTAAGTAACTTAGGACTTGGAGCCTTTTGGATATCATCAGCATTGTCGATGTTTTCATGTATCTTCAGGTCTGCCTAAGGTCTGCCTAAATAAAAAAACACAAACACATAAACAATGAACAACAAGAAATAACCATGTATTAACATATATGTAAAAACATTAAAAAATGTAACATATACCTCCCCACGTCTATGTTACATTTTCTTGGGCCCCTGTAACATATGCTTGTTGGGGGGGGTCCCCCCCCCTTACGTATAGATTACGTATGGTTTCTTCGTATGGAAGGGGGGGGGCTAAACAAATGTAACATGCAGGCGGGAGGTACATGTTATATTTGTTTGCCCCCCCCCCCTCCACCTTGTATGATAGCTATATGGAGGGTGGGGGGTCAAAAAGAATTATTGTATCTTACATTTTTGGGGTCCCCCTGGTTTTCGGCAAGCCAAGGGGGTAGGGATGGACCAGCACAAATCGCAAAGGAGTCCATGATCTGGTATAGCAACAGGCCGAACAATCTTCCGTAAATCATCAACGCTCTGCAACTCCGGGGACAAACCTGATGGAACACATAAAATGCGTTCCCAAACTAAAGCACAAAATGGCATACAGTTGAAGACCTCAACAAAACCTTTCCAAAGTTTGACGCTGAACTTTCTCTTGCATTCATCATAGAAACCATAAATCCTTGAGATGCTGCCGCATTCGTGCTTTCCGCGCAGCAGATGCATTTTCTCTGGATACTTTTTCTTGTACAAGAGCAGAAGGGTCAAGGTATCCAAGGATCTCCTACCCCTGTTGACATAGCTACCCAAGAAGAGGTATTGAGATGCAGGAGGCTCACCACAGGTATCAAAAATGTAGTTCAATTGGTCGGCACATCCCATCAAATGCCCACCAATGACTAATGGTGGTTCCAGTTCCAGCAAAGATGGTTCATTGAGAAAAATGTCCTTCATCATAGCGCAAAGAATCTTGATGTCATCCTCTTCTCTCATGCTCCCTTTGGCACGCAGTGTTTCAATGTGCATGTCAACATCAAGGCTCTTCAATACAAGAGTCACAGCAGCTCTTCCTTTCAGACCACATTCCCTCAGCTTCTGCCTGTCGTCATTCAAAGCCAGGTCTTCGTAAGACAATTGCTGCACTTCAACTAAATGTCCACAGCAAACGGCTATTTCATGTTTCAGATCCATCACAGTGCCATCAGATGGAAGTTTCTCTACCAAGAGCTCCTCGCCAGCCAGACTTAGCACTGTGATTTCAATGTCACCTTCGGTCTCAGGATTTGAACCTGCATCTGACTCTGGAAGTGTTGCAGCCATAGCATATATGAGACCAAATGAGACGAGCTTGAAAAGAACCTGTAATTCAGAGCCTTTGAAGACTGTGGTTCGATGTTGGTGTCTTTCGGATGATTTTGCGGCTTGGCTTGTTCATTTGCTTCGTTTTTCCTTCTTCCTAAAGTTCTACTTCTGGTACCTACTCGCCATGCACATGTCTTGCTCGTTATGCTCACCTCCTGATACTCTGCAGGCTTCTACTTATGGTTTCTTTTAGATCTAGATCTTTAGTAGGTCTTTGCTGGGATGGAGCGGGGCTTGAGCAAGAACAATAGCACAGTTCGAATGGTCCTTGAATGTTTCGCCATCCACGCTGTTGGCCCAGTATGCACGACTTGGACTTACATATTTCTTGCTACTGTACAGGCCAAAGATGGTGGGCTATTTGTATCTGGTCCTTCACCAGCCTATACTCAAGGAAACAGTTCCTTTCCTTGTGACTTGTTGATTTGCAACAGAAGTCAAACATACTTGCAAAGAATCTCATGCAGGAAGATTGAGTTAAAGAACCCAGAAAGGCAAAAGCTTCACTTGTCATTTAATAATATTTAATATGTATTATCATTTAAATTTAATCATTACCCAGGCATACCCAGGCCAGTCAAGCCCAACTGTACAGTTTCTTCGATGGTTGAACTTCTCCACTGAGCCAAGGTGCAGTGCATTCTCCAGAGGAGATCAGCGTCAGCAGCCGACTCCGCACGACGCCGCGCGGTGTCCTGCACCGGACCAAGGACTCAAAAAAAAAAACGACTAAAACGAACAAAGCATTGACAGAAAGTGAAACCTCTGAAGTGAGTTTAAGATAGTTTAAGGCTTAAGGGACAATCTACAGGAAACCATGAGTTTTACCTCTAAATATACGGCTTTGTAAATGTTCCCATCCGATTCCGGGAGAATCGGTGGACCTGGTGGAATCGCGCAAGCGTATCTCTGCCCGGCTCAGCTCTCCCAAAGCGCCAGCTTCGACCTGTCGAGAGTATCAATGGAGATTTAACTAGCAATGCCAAATCGGGAGTGAATTATAGTTCATTCTTGTTCATTAATTGGTCTTAATATTATCAACATGTGCTTATGTGGTGGTTTTGATTGGTGGTTTGGGGGGTCTGGGAATTTTAATAGTACTAATTTAGTATTAATCGACAATATATCTAAATGAGTCTAAATGAAATGTGTAAATACATTGTAAATACGCTATTTGGGTTTGCGCAAAATGGGACAATGGTGGCTTTACGTGGATGTACATGGATTTCCCTTATAATTGTCATTCTATGATGGGGAAAACAATGATGAATCAGAAGATGGAATGGGGACCATTACGGACCATTGGGGACCCTACTTTCAGACAAACCCTTCAAATGTCTCTTCGGCTGTCCAAACGCTGTACATCACACAGGACTTGACCGAATTCATACTGCGATGTGAAAGCGTGCCAAGGAATTGCCCCCTCCGTTTCACCCACCTTGAAACTGACAAAACGTCACTTTGATTTTGGATCTCCCCAAAAATTGAGAGAAGATGAAAACCTCCAAAGTTTGGGAGCAAAAAGGCTCCAAACATCCAATAAAACCCGCAAACATAGTGACATCCTGTCCAAAACCACGTCCCTTGCAGCCACGCTACCCCCTGCTGCCAGGGTTTGTGCGGCCGCTTTCTTGGCGCCCGGGTTCAGAGCGCTCAGCAGCTTCAGCGGAGACACGAAAGTCCAGATCCTGGGGCCCAAGCATCACAAATGATTGATGTTTGAGAAGGAAAAAATAAAACACAAAAGGCAAAGATGAAACCAACCAAAATGAATCAAAATGATGTGTAACCAGCAAAAATTGGGATTTGACCAGCAAAAGAGATGGGGAGATCAACAAAAGAGTGATCTAACATGGTCAAGCGTCAGCAAATGTGGTCCAAATTTACTCGGCCCTGAAAATGAGAATAGACTGCTCATTCTTGGTAGCAAACTTTCCATTGTGGGGTACAGACCGACAGACCACAATCAATTTTGATCCATGTTCAGGTCGGGAAAGGGTCAAAACCTTGTGTCAGCCGCTGCTGCGCACGGTCTCGGGGTGATACCAACCGAAGTGAGCATCACACCGCTTTTAATGGTTGGTTGATAAGGATTCCAACAATGGGTGATATTCCTGTGCAGCGTGTAACCCCAAATATAACATTCAGCAGACAGGGTTTTGTATATTGCTCATTTTGTTTTGGAATCCTGGAAAGCTTAATTCCAAAGAAATATATAGAGGGTTTTGCATTATGACCCTGTTTGTCGGGAGACTGGGGTGCATAAAAAAAATCAACAAAGACCCATCGAAATGGCTGAGCTGAAGGCTTTTTAAACCCAGCTTCATACTTATGCATGCTGGATCTAAACCTTAGCAAATCTTTTGCTTCCATGACCAGTTTGGGCTGCAACTTCTTCTCCTCTGTATACTGTATGCTTGTAGCAGCAGAAAGCATCACGTAGTAGCGCTCGCTTTCAGAGAAACACTTTTCAATAGATTCAAGAGACTATAACAACAAAGCACGGGAGAGGCTTGCACTTGTATGCTTTTTGCTGCTGATCGTGGTATGGCGGCAAAATCCAGCGAAAGTTGAACTGTTGATCCTCATGACTTAGGACAAATGCTGGGACTGAAAAAATGGTGCGCTTGTGTAATTTTTTCATCATTCAATGAAGTAGTCTGCAACTTGCCATCGCAGCTGCTCATCCATCAGCAAGACCGCTCCTCTATTGTTGTGCTCTCCAAGGTAATTGGATGTGCTGTGTATTGAAACTAACTTATCTCCGTGGAATGACTCGTGGCCGTATTGTGTCAGCCGGTCCGAACAAATGATCATCTCCAATTTGTTCTTTGTCAGAAACTCATCCAGGAAATCGCAGCCAAATTCGCTCACCAAACCACAACCTGACCACCCTGTTGTATCAGGATCAAACTTGGACCACAGCAAATCACACACAGCACCTGAAGGCTCAGAATCAGTGGGCTTCTCCATACTCCGCAGTTGGTCAATGCTGCGGACATGAGGCGACAATCCAGATGGGACACACAAAATCCGATCCTGAAGTAGGGCACATATGGGCATAGAGTTGAAGACATTCAAAAAAGCCTTAAACGTTATGATGTTGAAATTCCGCTTGCACTCGTCGTAGAAGCCATAGCGGACTGACATGCCACCAAATTCGTGCCTTCCCCGCAGCAAATGCATTCTTTCAGGGTATTTCTTCTTGTACAGAAGCAAAAGTACCAGAGTATCAATGGATCTCTTTCCGATGCTCACATGGTTACCCAAGAAGAGATATTGGGACGCAGAAGGCTCACCAAACCTGTCGAAAATGTAGTTCAACTGCTCAGCACAGCCCATCAAATTCCCAGCAAGCAACAATGGCGGTTGCACTTCCAGCACGAAGGATTCTTTGAGGAAAATATCATTTACAAAGTGACACAGAAGCTTGATGTCCTCTTTTTCTGTCATGCTCCCTTTGGCACGCAGTCTTTCGATGTGCATGTCAACATCAAGGCCCTTCAATACAAGAGACACAGCAACTCTCTCTTGAAGGCCAAACTCTCTCAGCGTCCGCTGGTCATCATTTAAAGGCAGCTCCTCATAAAACAAGTGTTGCATCTCCACCAAGTTTCCACAGTTTCTGGCAATCTCGCGCTTCACGTCCAGTACAGCGCTGTCAGGGGCAAGGTTCACAACGACAAGCGGCTCACCAGCGAGATTCAGCACCGTGACTTCAACTTGGCTCTCCAAAGAGTCAACAGGTGAGCATGATTCCCCTGAAGACTTTGTTGCCATGGCAAGCTAGGGGAAATTCTCAGCCTTGCCTAAATGAAAACTCGTATATACATATAATACAGTATATATATATCCACATAGGGAGATTTGTTGGCAGGTCTTCAATCAGGTGATCTACTTGCTTTAGCTTCTTGATCTATTCCTTTCACCTTTCTTTGTAATATCATTTGAAGATCTTTGAAGCTCAGTCTCTGCCCACATTGGAATCTGATCCATTTGGTCGCATGATGTCGCGGCTTCCGAACCTTGGTGGAGACAAAACGCGAACAACATCCCAAATTCCCAAGCTCCTGCAGAGCGCTGCGAAGCCTGGTGCGAAGTCAACTGTGCTTTCGATTGCTGCGTGAACTGGCATCTTTTGTTATTGAAGAGGGGAGCGGCTTCAAAGCAACAGAAACCTCTGACCCATCTGGTGAGTGAGCTGTGTGTCTGATCCCTTTCCTTCTACCTCAACCAGACCTCTTGCATCGTCATGCCCTGCTGTTTTCCAAGATTGGATTTGGCAATGTTCGGAGAATCTGTAAAGATAGACCAAGAAAAACGACTTCTGGAACTGTGAGTCAACTTAACGGATTTTTGAAAGTTGCGTCAAGCAAGCTGATTTGAATGTGATCCTTTGTCCCTACCACAACATCACATCTGCCAAACAACAAGAGTATAGCTGCAATCGTAGTGAACTGCATGACTCCTTCAATGCATATTCCTTTGAATGAGTTGTGACAATTCAGCTGTCTCAAACCCATTCGCTGCAATGAATGATGCCAAGCAAGTGTGTTAGTATCAATATCTATTGAATTCGATTCATATTATGATATCATGTGATAATTATTCTGATATCAGCTGATACCTGGTTTCATTTTAGTTATTGTCAATCCTTCCCAGCTACCCAGCCACCCACCGTTTTTTAGTCTGGGCCTCGTCATGGGCGCTGCGCCGGTAGCGCACAGGACCCAAGCCCCAGCGGAAAGCTGCGGGCAGCTCGACTTTCCAAGCAGCTGGCTCTGGATGTCTGGAATGGGACCTCTTGATGGGGAAATCGCAACAAACCCCAAGCTGCCCAAGCTGCCCAAGCATAAAACCGTCACCTCCTTCCAATCGTAACGGTCTGCATCATAAAATGGGACCTCGGTCCAAGGCCGTTGTGGTATCTGGTCGGTTCTTACACCTGATTGTCAAGCCCCAAGGGGGCATTTCATCCCCAGCCCGGTTCAGTCGCCTCCAAGGATGTTGACTCCATGTTCTTCTTTTCATGGAGACGGTTCATGATTTCTGTTCATGCATCATCACATTGGTATACATTGGTCGTCTCCGTTGCCTTTCCTCCCCTGCATATCCCCCTTCTATGTCTCCGGCCACAGGAATGCTCCGCTGCTGCTCAGCCCATGTCACCTCTGCCTCCCAGGCCAACACAAGGTCACAGCGTGAACTCGGTTTGATTGGGACTTAGCTAGGGATGGATCAAGAATTGGGGTGCCAGTGGAAAGAGTTGTTCATTTTTGGGGGATCTCAAAGTCTCAAACCATCCATTTTGGTGAATCATTCTGACCCATACCATGAATTGAATTCTACGCTGCCTTGTAGGCATCTCACAGCCCGTCATGCAAACCTCAGCGCCACTGAGTTCACAAGGTGCCACTTTGCTGATCACGGCTGATCACTTGCCGCTGTTGCTCAAGCCTGGACCCGCCTGCATTTCACAGCTGGAAAACTGTGGAAAATGGAGAAAACTGAAAGGAAAACTCTGGAAAACGAGGTCTCCATTAAATTTACAGGTCTCCACTTTTTCTTCGCACCTTTGGAAGTTCAGGCCCCAACTCTGGCCGGGAGGAGATGCACGTGAGTTTCCTCAGATGAAAGGGAAGATAAGCCTTTTCCAGGCTAATAACAAGATCCAAAAGAACTTCCAGCAATGATGGCTCAAAGTTTCATCAGCACAAAATGCCACAATAACAACATATAACAACTGTAACCCAGCCCTTTGCGCCAATTCATACGCCGCACCTGCAACCAGGATTCATCTCTGCACACGTCTTCATGATCCAATCCTTACCACGGTGACAAGTTCCAAAACTTTGGCATGAAACGCCCTCAGGTCCTGGGATTTTACGTGGCCATCTCGACCAAAGTAATATAAATGGAAATTGTGTTTAAGAAACAAATGCAGTATGGACCATCGCTTAGGTAAGGTAATAAATTGTGAATGGGCAGTTGGCTTCCTTTAGGCTTATTGTGAAGACTTGAGCGGAGTTGGAGCAGTGCTCATGGATGCAGTGGGTATAGTCTGTGCATAGTGATGCATAGGCATTCGTCACGTACATGGTTCTACAACAAAAAGACCTAAAGAAGTGAATTCATGGATTGCTCAGAAATTAAGCTCCAGACTCCAAATACACAAAGAAAAATGAAAGCAAATACCATACGTTTCCCTTCATCTTCTTTTGCACCCTGTGATCCAAGTCTAGGCACACCGAAGAAGCCAGCAAAGTCGTCTGGCGCCAAGGCAACACGCAGGTCACACAGACCTTCGACGGTTCCACCAAAGAGCAGTGACCACCAAACAACCAGAGCGTGATTCGCTCAAACAAAGCTGACTGCTGTATCCACCAGACCCGAGACGAGATAGTTCGTCCAAAATCCTGCCACGTGACGTCGTGCTTCGTGCTGGGGAGTCCTGTCAAACAAAGGCGAGGCATGAAATCCAAGTATATTTCAGTCCACACATGGACATGGACATGGAAATCCATCAAAATCCCATCGCTGTCTGTCCACTCAAAACCACTCAAGTCGTGTGAATCTTTCGCCTCGACTAGACGACGAGCTGCACCCCATGGGCCGCCCTGGCCATGGTCAAGACCACGCCGCCATGGGACCACCCGGTTACTTCTGTGCCCGGTGCAAGGTCATGGGGTCATGGGGTCATGGGGTCATGGGGTCATGGGGTCATGGTACTGTTTTTACACGTGCGCGTCTTGTGGATGTGGGTTTGCTTTGGCGTGGAGTCCTCGTGGAAAAGTGAGTCCAGTGGCTTTGTATCCTGGTCAAGTAGCATGTCCTGTCTTTGCCACCATTGCCAACAAGCGCCCAAGCAGTTTTGATGTCCAATGTCAACTATTTCTGTCCCTACATCAATGCATGATTGAAAAAAAGCTGAATTGAACCAATAAAAAGACGCGGGCAGCAACATGAATCTCTTTGACAGAGATCCAGGTCAGGCTAAGGAGCGCATACAAGAGAAATCACAAAGGCGTGGCTATTTAATACTACCTGGCTATGTTCAGCTAGTCTCCAGTAAGAAGAAGGACAATTTCACTGGAAGAAAACAATCTCTCAGGTACTGTACATGCTTGCCCGAAACACTGCATGTAGGAGACATGCAATTGTAGTACATCTCCTGTAAGTTTCTGACAGTGACAAGAGAATAGCTTTGAAATTCCGCTCCTCCATGGACGTGCATCTACCATACAAACAGAGTGCAGACTTTACGACCGGCATGACCCTGGAATGGACCGCACTTGGGCCACAACGTCCTTGACACTTTTTTCGGCCTCAAAACAAAAAAGAGTTGAACCTGATGAGTCTTCCAGCACCTAATGAAGTCAGCCTGCCTGGAAGGGTTTTGGAAACTTGTCAATGTTATGAAGGTTCGCGGCGTGACATGGCGCCATTAAGGCACCGCGCCCACTTCTGCCACTGCTCCCATTCAGTCCCATCAGCCAGTAGCCGCCGTGCAGAAAGTTGACACCTGAGATACTCTACTGAAAGGCTCAGTCCCGCATCATCCGCATCAACATCAGTCATCCAGTCATCCAGTCATCCAGTCATCCAGTCATATCATTCATCAAGTTTTCTTGAGATCAACTGCAAGATTTCCTGAGATCACGCACGTCTCCTGGAAGCCAATGATGCAGAGATCTGGCGAGGGCTCCTGGTTAAGCTGGACCCTATTCGACTAACAATGGACATCATTGGACTAATCAATCCAGGGTGCGGTGGCTCGGGTCCAATATGCACCTCCCACTACCTGTCCCACTACCTGTCCCACTGTCCCACCCCACCTCATCCAGCACTGCCTCAAGAGATTCTGAGGAGAGTGGCCGAGTGGCGCCCACATTCCACGTTAGACACAGCCTGGGACGACAATCAACAAGCTTTTACGAGACATTGACTGTCGTTGAACTTAACTTGGCCACCTACAAGCTGCATCAAACTTCAGTCAGACACCTGCATCATTCACAATGTTCACCACATGGCTCCTTTGAATGCCTTTGAAGGATTGCAGTACAAACGGCCCAACGTGCCGTTGGAAACTCCACATAGTTTCCCCTCCAACTGCCGTCCAGCAGCAAACGCAGGCGCCGGTCATCCGGAGAGCTGAGCTCTCCTCAAGTATCAAATGTATCAAGATAAGGGTTCTAACCGGTTCTAAACAATTCAATCACAAGTGAACAAGTATATACAAGTATTGAATGATGCTGTGAATACACTGGAAATATTACGTTGGCCATTTTTGGCCTATGGGGGATCACTCTTCACTCAACTTGGTGTTGTCTCAGCTGCATCACTGGGCGGCCCAGACTTGCCATGGTGTTCGCCCGTTCTTTACGTGTACGACGAGGTTGAGAAAAGACCTGCTCAGCCATGTGCTCAATCCCAAGACAATCCCTGAGATGGTGAGTGGCTGCAAACAAACTGTGGAAGTGGGTGAAGTAGTGCTTCTGCAACCTATGCAATTCTCTTGAATTACACCTCCGTGGGCCCCAAACAGGTGATGGGTATAGAAAAATCGCGAAGCAAGGTTCCTTTTAGGAATTGGGACTCCAGATTAAAATCAAAATCAGGGAAGTTTCGAAAGGTTCCTCACAGAACTTGGCCTCCATAGAAGGGAGACAAAGAGGGGAGACAAGCAGCGAAAAGGCAAGGCAGGTGACAATGGAGACAAGAAGGATGACATGGAGACAACCAGAGCCAGTGAGGAGACGGACACACGGACACACTTTAGGAAGCAAAGGGAGAGCCCCGAAGCAAAACGATGGTTAGGAAAACGTTTTGGCAAGGTAACCAATGAGAGAGAGTCCATGATCTGACATATTTCAATGAAAAAGAAACGAAGACGAATCGTAGTGCAGGAGAAAGCCAGCAATGTTTGAATGGTTCAGAGCAGCACGGAGGAGCGTGGAATTCCAATCGGCAGTTGGTCAAACGTGGTATGACAAGCAAATCTGCCAAGTCTGGTGGATTCTGCTCCGACCTCAACCGAAGAGGCAGGCAGCTTTGCCTTGGTCATTGCGCCGGGTCAGATTCATGCGGCAAATGCCTACAACATCTACTACTGAGGGGGTGCAGTTCCAATTATAATTGGATATGGGATTTTTCCCATGGATATATCCATCAATCCCAATTGCACCCCCAAGTACTTCATCCTACAACTTCAATAGATTCGCTTATGGTCAGACCAAGCTGATGCATCACTGACCTTCTGGGATCAGCCACCAACTCCATAGGCAAGTAGTCATGATAGGCCCACACCTGTCATGACACGAGCTCGACGCGCCCTTGGTTTGCCATGGATTTGTCGGTCAGTCTCCGTGATGATTTTTCCAAGCGGAGGGCAAGAGTTCACCTTCGTGTGAAACATGGTTAAGATCCTGCTTGAGCATTGTGCTTGGGGCATTGGCTGAGTTATTTTGTGGGATGACGCCCCCAACAATCAGATTCTTTGCAATAGCTGGGTCCCAAGTTCCTTTCGTCAAAACAAAAAAGCACACGCACATCTATTTCAGTGAGACTCGTGTGAAACTTCAGGATGCCATAGCAAATTCATGCGAAGGGCACAGCAAATTATGATCCGTCCACTTGGAATTTTCTACAAGTACACACTTTGCGAGGAACAATAATTTGCAAAGTGTGACAAGAACCTGGTATAGCCCAATCTTTGAAATTTTAAACCTTCACTGTCCCTCTGAAACCCAATCCACAACAATCAGGATCCAACAAAACATCATGTCAATATATGTCAAGGATTTCATGAAAAAATCAAGCAGAATAGGATGAAAAAGTGCAACTGCCAAAGCATGCATTGTGTCCCTTCGCTGAATCCTCATTGGCACCACTTGGTCACTTGCCCTTGGGCGATGAGCCGCCCACCATCGGTGGCGTCGACATCTTTGGCATGACGCCCCGTTCGGTACCAGGTTCAGGTTCCTGGCGTTCGGTAGTGCCCCATCTTTTAGCCATGCCTTTTTCGGCTGCCTATATCTTTCTCAGTCTCTGCCTGTCTGTTTATCTTGTCGTTCTGTCCATTTTTCTTTCTTATGTCCATATGTATGTGTATATATATATGCATATATATATGTATGTATATATACATATATATATATATTTATATACGTAATATTGGCTTAATTTGTTTCTTCGTTTTTTGTTAATTGTGTTTCCTTTCCCCCCTCCTGTTGTTTTCCTTAAGTTCTGTATTTTCTGTTCTTCGTTTTTACTTTCTGTGTTTTCGTTTCTTTGTGCTTTGTCTGGTCTGTCTTTTCTTTTTTTTCTTCTAATTCTTTATGTTCTGATGTTTCTCTTCAAGGTCTTTACCTTTTTTCCATTGTTTCTTTTTAATGTTTGTCTATCGAAACAATTTTAGAATCTAATGGAACCTGCCTAATTCAATCTAATCCCTACTCTGTTGTTGTTTAATCTAATCCATCTGCCGTAATCCCGGCCGAATCCCTTGCAATATCATCTCAACTACCTAAAGCTAATCCCGTCTAATCCACCCCGATAGCATGTGATTTATTCTGATCTGATCTGGCCTGATCTCATCACATCTAATCTGACCTGATCGGACCTATCCCAATCTCAATCTCATCTAGGCGGTTGAATAGAATGGAATCTAGGCTACTTGAGCCGTCTGTCCACGTATCTATCTGCCTATGTCTACCTCTGAACTTGCTCGCGTTACTAATCAAACCCGTATTAATTTTAATGCCATCTAGCCTGGTCTACTCTTTGTCTATTTGTGCCAAAAAAAAATGAGTTTGATGCGGGAAGCCTTGCGAACCCCAAAAAACTAACAAACTAAGAAAATTGCGAATCCCAAAAACTGAGTGGTTGACAAACACAGTAGATATCCTTCCGAAGAAGAATAGCAGAAAAAATGCGAATTCAAATGTTGATTTTGGGGAGGCCTTGCAAAATCCAGAAATCACCCAAAAAAGAAAACTGCACGTGTTTACCTTTTGTTGCGCTATGGGAATTACACAGCCAACAAAAAAGTAAAGAAAAAAACAAATTCGGAGGGTGCTTTCTGGAAGCCGAAAGCAAAACCCAAAAATCATTACAGCATCCCAAAGCAAACCAATCATCGCGCCTTTTGAGGCAGAAGTTCAGTTCTTATGATTGCAAGTCCGATTGGAACCAGGCAACAACACTGCAGTATTGCTGATTCATGTGCACGTAGAAGTTGCATGGTTCGCCCCCAACCCAACCAACCTGATACTAATTTCACTTAAACTTAAACTCATGCAATTTGTCTGTGATCGATCTTTCTTTCTTCTATCTATCTATCTATCTATCGATCGATCGATCGATCGATCTGTCTGTCTGTCTGTCTGCCTGTCTATCTGTCTATCTGTCTATCTGTCTATCTATCTATCTGTCTATCTATTGATCTATCTATCTATCTGTCTGTCTGTCTGTCTGTCTGTCTGTCTGTCTGTCTCTGTCTGTCTGTCTGTCTGTCTGTTTGTCTATCTATCTATCTATCTATCTATCTATCTATCTATCTATCTATCTAATCTATCTATATGTCTATCTATCTATCTATCTGTCTATCTATTGATCTATCTATCTGCCTGTCTGTCTGTCTGTCTTTCTGTCTGTCTATCTATCTATCTGTCTTATAGTCTAAGCAAACATCATCAAGTCAAAACCAATCGAATCCAATCTGTTTTCACCCCATATACTCCAAACTAATCATCTATCCATTGATCTTATCCCTATATACCTATATAACCCTAAACGAATCAAACTATATATAATATAATCTGATATGCAGTAATCAAATAATAATATAATATGTGATCTACATTGATATACATGATATGAAACCTATCTAATGTGTTCTACTCCGGAGTCCAACTCCGGCATCATTATGAACCTCAAATGGTCAAACAAGTGACTTGGCTGCTGCACAAAGATGACATCTTGTGTTGAGCTGACGCGACAGAAACGGCACCTGGACAGCGGTGGAAGCCAATCGCCGGCAGGTGGGTGCCATGGTGACCATGCGAGCGATCTCTGCATCCAAAAACTCGATCTGTGGCTTGTAACCTGAAACAGAATGGATTGTGCTACACTGAGCGCTGACGATGTTAGGGGGAAAAAGTACCTGCACTGCACCAAAAGTTGGATGGGAGAAAGAAAAAAAGAACGTGGAGCTGCTTCTGCCACAACCAAGGCACACTGCGCATACCACATGCGCCACTCTTTGACCAAGGCTTGAAGTTCAGTGTTTTCTGCTTCCAACCCGACCTTACACAGGTCAAATGCATTTTTGTGTGCACCAGTACCATGCATTGCCTTCACAGATTATTTACCTGCTTCACATCTGAAGAGACATCTTGATCGTCTTGGAAACTGCCCAGTGCTGGCAAGCAGCAACCCGTTGCCTCAGTACTGCGCATTCCTGGCGCAAATCGTCTAGAGTTTCTGCAGAATCCCCAGGCATGGGGCCTTCCTTGGAAGCTGCCAAAATGGCAGCTACAATCAATGGTGGCAGGCTCACTACACACTCTGGCAAGGGGAGAGGGCTGGAAATGCTGAAGAATATGCTTTTGACTGATCGGATTCTGCCAATACAACTTAAAAACACAATCACTCACAATGTTGTTGTCTGCTCCCAGCGTCTGCTGACATATCAAGCTCTGCATCCACTTTCCCATCTTTGCCATCAGTTCCTTTGCCTCAATGCGACTGGACAACCATGCCACTGACTGCCAAGCTGGATCACAGGGACAAGTGACCGGGACGAAGCTTTCTGACAGGACCACGAGACGTGTCAACGCTCAGGTTATGTTTGATCTGCTGGAGTCACCAATGAGCCCTCCTACCTTCGTCCAAAGAAACCACTCCACGAAAGCAGGTTTCTAGAGATATGCAAGGTTGCCCGCATTATTTGGGAGAAGCATTCAGCTTGCATGAAGCGTTCAGTTTGTTTCCTACCGGCCCCAAATGAAGCTACTAGCAGAATAACGTCCAAATGTGTCAAATACCAAGGTGCCTTCCATGGCGCGAGACGGTGACGCAGGCCCCAGCAGCTCTACCCTTGACTTCATGGCCAAAACCCAACACACAACGAAGACAGATACAGATCAAGGTCCAAATACCATTTGCACAGCACAGACTTCACTACTGTCGATGCACAGGCAAAAACATGCGGCATCTGCAAATCGGCAGCACAATGGCACAATAAAACAAAGACGACCGTCCATGCCTGCTCATCGCATCAAGTCATTTATGTTTCTCCCCATTCAGCATCCATGGACCCCCATCCGAACTTATTTTGCGCAAGATCTTGTCATGCAATCCCAGGTCTAAGGCTAGAACCTTGGAGCTAGATTCAGCTGAAGATTTGTATGAAAAGGGGGTCTACATGCGGTTCTGCATGGACGGAAGTTCGCTCAAACTGTCCCTAAGGTGATGCAACACAGTACAGAAAATGGAAGAGAAAAAGGTCATGCAACTCAGAAGCCAAACTGCTCAATCGCATCTTTGCCTGTGGCACATTCTGCCGCAAAAATTCCAAGCACAGAGATCATGGCCATACGACCGTTGTTTAGCTCCTTCATTCTCATTTCATCATTGTACATCTGAACTCCAAAGGGGTCGCCATAGTTGCCAGGCTCCTTCTCACCGCTTGGGTCCTCCCTCCATGCCAGCTCCAAAAGCCCGGACACAAGGAAGATGGCGAAGAAGCCAAGCACACCTTCTCCCCTGCCCATGATGGAGAAACCAGCTGGTGAATTTTCGAAGCCAGGAAACTTCAGGAAATGCTGACCCACAAGCCCAATGGATGCCATCATTGCTACCTGGTTGGTGGTTTTGTGTGGTTTCAGGGCAACATAGGACAACAATTCGGTAAGTTTTGGAGTTGAAAGTGATGTTGATGTTGAATGCAAAATGATGTGGTGCTGCTGCGCTAGTTTCAGTATCAACCAGCAAGACAATAGCAGCAACAGTGTGGCCCAACGAACGCATATAGGACAAGCGGCGGTCAGTTTTCGTATTGTGTTGATTCTGCGTTCAGCTGCTACTACATCTTCAAACTGTAATTTACAATGTTTGTGTGCCTTAGGCATGAAAAAGGTTCTTCTTGCAACATGCTGAAAATTGCGTAAATACCAGTGTTTTTGCTAGGCCCGGGCCAAAAAATAACGTAAATACCGTGAATTTTGTTTCCAGAAGCAAAAAAACACTGTAAATACCGTGGTTTTCGGCTTCCGAGACGAAAACACCACCTATGTGAAGATCTTTAGAGGCCCACAAAATGCGAAAATAAGATGCGTTGCAACAACAACGACAACAACAACAACAACAACGACAACGACAACAACAACAAAAAACAACAACAACAACAACAACAACAACAAACAACAAACAACAAACAAGAACAAGAAGAAGAAGAAGAAGAACAAGAAGCTGCACAAAAGCTGAATTCTGGATTCTGGTACACTTTCACGTACATGTGTCGTTTGCCATGCCGGAGAAGCCCCGCTTGCCACGCCGAACCTTTCCACTCACTGCCATGTGTCTTTTACAGCTTTCTCTGCATGTGACTCTATCCATGAACACCCTTTCTCAAAACTGGTATGGCGCACACGCATGTTTGCTATCTGCCCTCCTCTTTCGCGCTACCCGCCCTTGTCGGGGGACTTGATCACGCTTTCGGCCTATCCTTGCTGCTCTGGGCCCTCCCTACAGTACCAACCCTGTTCAGCCCTGTGCTGCCAACACAAACTCCTCAGCTTGACAGCCACGAACGCCCCCAACCGGAAGGGCATCGCCAGTGTGCGATGCTCTACAATACAGTTGTAGGTGTTTTTGCAATTTCGGCTACGCACCTGCATATTTAAAGTTGTAGTTGCTTTGTACAACTGTTTGCTGACACCTGCAACTATGAGGTTGTAGATATGTTGTTATTGAAGTTGCAGCTGCATTGGCAGAGAAGATGATGCGATGGTGACGATGATGATGTTGGTGACGACGATGATGACGATGATGATGATGATGATGATGATGATGATGATGATGACTGCTTTGACTGCTTTGACTGCTTTGACTGTTTTGACTGTTTTGGCTGTCATGGCTGTTATGACTGATTTGACGCTGATGATCATCATAATGATCATCATAATGATCATCATGATGAGGATTAGGATGAGGATGAGGATGAGGACGTGGAGATGATGGTGGTGGTGATGATGATGATGTTGGTGCCAATAATGATGATGATCATGGTCATGGTGATGAGGCTGATGAAGCTGATGAGGCTGATGAAGATGATGAGGATGATGAGGATGCTGAGGGTGATGAGAACGATGCATGATGATGGGGTGATGATGAGGAAGAAGATGACGAAGAAGATGCTGAAGAATCGACGAAGAATCGACGAAGGAGATGGCAAAAAAGATGACGAAGATGATGAAGATGATAAAGACGATGAGGATGAGGATGGTGTATCTTGGCTGTTGACAATGTATATTGACTACTTTTATTGTCAGCAGCTCTTTGGAAGGAACCCTTTGCAGGTGCTTCGGAAAACCGTGTCAAACAGAAGTTTGTGCACACAGGAAGGATTTTGCACACAGAAACTTTTACACATCGACACACCGGCGCTTTGTATACAAATGCCTCTTTACGCACAAAGCTTATACACACAGAACCTCTTTCACAGGGATGTTTTTTGCACACAAAAGACTTTGACGGGCGGTTTTCAACACAGATAACTTTTACACCTAGCAGACTGTTACGCCTCGACAGGCAGACACTTTCACACGCAAACGTTTTTACACGCAAAAGCTTGGACATACAAATGCTGCTACAGGAAAAGCAACTCTACCTCAGCTTTAGACAATCAACGCACGTTTTTCGCAGGACAGGTTCGCCGGGACAAATCAAATCGCACTTTTGATACGTGTTTGATGATCGGCACGCATTTCGTGCAGGAAGGGTTTGTGGGGACAGAACCAAATCGCAATTTTTCGCAGTTTGACTATGGACACATTCTTCATGCAGGAACACCAAATCACAACGCTATCTTTTGACGATTGAGACGCTTTTGTGCGAGAGGGGCACTTTCAAAAGTCTCGATCTGCGTTGCCCTGCCGCCTGAAAGTAGAAATCTTAAATGATTTGAAATGCGTAGGTAGCACCTGGCTGATTCTTTACAAATACATCTGCACATCTGCATATACAAAGTTAAAGGTATCTGGTTCAACTGCATGCACACGCCTGTAAAAATAGCTATCGATATGTTGTTGTACAGCTGCATGTGTCTGTTGTTAATATGTCTGCTGTTCAAGTTGTAACTATTGTGATCAAGAGCATGAAATCATCCTCTTTGTGATGCTGACAATGATGCTGATCATGATGATGATGATGAAGATGCTGAGGAGGAGGAGGAGGAGGAGGAGCAGGAGGAGGATGCATAATGGTGCGATGAAGATGATATGGTGATGGTGATACTGGTAATCATGACGATGCTGGTAATCATGATCATGATGATGATGATGGTGGCGCTGCTGCTGGTCATGTTCATGAAAAAGGGTGATGTATGACGATATACAAGGATGCATGCTGATGTGTGATGCCGATGATGCCAGCGATGACGATGATAATGATGATACTGAAGAAGATGGTGGTGATGACGAAACTGATGGTGATGATGATGGAGGTGATGATGATGATGATGATGATGGCGACGACGACGACGACGATGATGATGATGATGATGACGACGATGATGATCATGATGACGCTGACGATGACGACGACGAAGGCGAAGGCGAGGACGATGACGATGAGGATGAGGATGAAGAAGAGGGTGATGAGGATGATGATGATGATGATGATGATGATAATGAGGATGATGATGATGATGATGATGATAAAGATGATGATGATGATGATGATGAGGATGATGATGATGATGATGATGTTGATGTGTATGTTGGCTGACAATGTATATAAGCAGCCGCTCCGTGGAGGGAGCCATTCCCAAGTGCTTTGAAGAAAGAGGCGTTAGAAAAAGCGACGGACGTCCAATAGTCATCAAGCGACGGACGTCCAATTTGGAAGTGGAAAGTGATGTTGGATGAAAAATGATGTCGTGCTGCCGCGCTAGTTTCATTATCAATCAGAAATCAGCAAACAAAATGTGCTAGAAAAAATGACAGACATCCAATCATCATCAAGCTGCTCGTCCATGCTTGATTTCAGAGACTCGCAACTTCCGGAAGCCTTTCTCATCTCCGACGGCAGTAAAGCCCAAGGGATCGAAAAAGCTTGAACTTGTCGGAGTGACCCAGCACAAGCTGAGAGACTCCTTTCTGTGACATTCATCCAATACCTGTTCTGAAGAACAGATCTTTTCGAGGTACGGATTCCGTAGCTGCAACGCTTGGAGAATGCAAAGTTTCAGGAGTGAGATTTGAACTTGCACTAGGTGAAGCTTGAGAAATGGTCTGTTTGCCCCGCAATCTACGCCTTACAACTGGCTCGACTGCACTGGATGACGCTGATTTTTGCAAGCTAATATTATTGTCAATAGTGATTGGTTTGCAAACAGTCTTAGGGAGGTTGTTGACCCGGTCTTTCCATTTCCAGGTTCTTCCGCAGGCTGTGCAATTGAGGATACCTTCATCAGGTGGCTTTTTGCCAACTTTGTAATTCCATTCGAGTACATGATTCCCTTTGTTGTATTTTTCGTTCATGTCTTGAAAAGCTTTTTGCAATCTGTTCTGATTATTGTGTTTTCCTGGCTGGTCAACATATTGGCTAGGCGAAACATGTTCGAACTCACAACGCTTACCAGTGATCTTCAGCTTGATGTGACCGAGATTCGTCACATGTTTTCCACACTTCTGGCAAAACACACCTATTCCATCGGCTTTGAACGCAAGAGAGTGACCATTAGCATTTTTTGGCGGTTCAGGATTATCACTGCTTACACCGACATCTGGGTCATTCGGTGGTGGATCGTTATCCTCTCCGTAGAACCTCTCTATATGCGATTGCCAAATTTGAACGAGAGTAGACTGCAAAAGGATAACTTCGTCTTGTGTCAAGAGTGTGTCTCTTAAAGCAACTGCAGCATATCGAGTGACAACTGGTAAATTTTGGATATGAGGATTCAATTGTAAGAGCATAGGCTGCCGAATGTGATCGAAATGTTTGCATCTCCAACTGACATGTTCGACAGTACTTTCCTCTCCAAGACCACATTCACACACATGAATTTCATTATGTCTCCGATGTCTGCGGATCCTTGATTGCGTGAGCAAACCGCCCGCTAGCATTCTTCGCAGCACTGCAAGTTTCATCCATGCTTCCTCTGGTGTGAGCTGTAGACCTGGATGGCCCGTGCCATCTGCAACCTGCTGTAGCATGTCATGGAACATCATGGTCATATTCCGATCAATCTTTGTTGCATGTTGATATTGATGTGACCTTTCTTTTTCGAGTTGTCTGAGAAGATTCTGTCTCCATTGTTCTCTGAGATTATGCTTCCACAGCTCAAGGTTATCAATTTGGTTCAGCAATAGTTGTTGAATTAGTTCACTCAGGGGGCCATCTGCAAGCTCCTGAATTCGTGCGCAAGGTCCTACTGTGTTGGCAGCTCCTGATGTCAGAATTTGCTGGGCCAACCTGGCACTTTGTGCACAACCGGAAATGCATCTTTGAAAGGTCAGGAGACCTGCATATTGCATAGCAAATGATGGCTCGAGTTGTACTGGCACTAATAGCGCAAAGGTTAACAAGGGAGACATAGAGTAAAAATCAGCGTTGTAGAAAGTTCGCATGAGAGATGATCGAACTAAATTTAATGCTTTGATGTCGTTAGGCAATTGATGTGCACCTTGGCCCCAGGTGGCCTGGGATTGAGTGCTCAATAGGGTTTTAGCTTTTTCGGGCCACGACAAGGGTAGACATCTGACTTTGGCAATTGTGTTCTTCCATTTGTCTAACCGTTTTTGCTCGAGTTTGGTGAAGCTACCAGTGAGTACTTGTGATACAACGGATACGCCGACCAATCGGAAATCATTGACGTGTTCTATCTGAGGATCGACGGCTTGTCGCAGTGATTGGTCACCGAAGGTGAAAGCTTTCTTCATGCTGATATCTCCAAGTCCACACTGCTGATATGATGTAACAATGTCATGGAAATTTTTGGTCTGTTGCAAGAGTTCCGCTGGATCTTCGGCTGAACCTTCACCGCTGATGTCATCTGCATAAGCCCGACCAATTAAGCACCTGGGGATGCTATCTGCTTTTTCTAAGATGGCAGCAATCAAACTATTAAGTCCAAGAAGTGATAAACTGCATCCTTGTATGATGCCATTGGAGGCGCGCCAAAATTCGGAAAAAGATCCTTGGATTCTGTACGTTCTGCTCAACTGACTGTACACTCCTTTCATTGAGTTGAGAAGCCTGCAGGATGCTCCTCTGGCATGGAGAGTGTCTAACATCACATTGACAGGTATTACATCGAATGCTTTAGCGAAGTCATAGGATATACCCCCGGCTAGTTTGGATTGTGAATGTGCTGCTTCGACTGCAAGGGCCACCTGGAATGCAAGCGTTTCTGCTGATCGTTTTGGGACCCCTCCGAATGCTCGTTCATGGATCCAATGGGCCTGCCAACTTATGCTATCCTTGAATCTGGTCTTTGAATACAGCCTGTAGATGTGGGGTAGAACGCTTATAGGTCGCATATCCATAGGACCAGGAATTGCAGGTCCATCTGGCTTGGGAAGCATCGTAGTGTAGCCTGTGACGAGAGATGTTGGCCATTCACCGATTTCTTCAATGAGATTGAGTAGGCTGGCAAGATGTGAAAACATTATTGGATACCACTTAGACAAGGCAACAAGCTCAGCTAAGGACCAACCATCCAAACCAGTGGATGATGGCTTGACCTCTTTCAGCGTTTGAGTCAATCGATTGCCAGTTAAGGGATCTAAATGCTGTGGATGGCTTTTCATGTGGCTTCCAAAATTTTGGAAAAAGAGATTTGAATCTGGTTCCCCTCGAGAATATTTATTAAAGACTTTATCCCACGCATCGCGTATAAGATTGAACATGTCATCTTTATTAGCTGTGGGTTTTCCATCTTTGTTCATCATTACACCAGTGGAAATAGCTTCATTTTTTCGGAGCCACTTGTGCACTTCCTTTTTGGATGTTTTCATGCGTCGCTTCCAGGAATTGATGCGGTCAAATTTTTCTCGCTTTCGTACTTGTTCAATGACCGTAGGCACTTGGGAAACAATCTCTTGCACTGCTGGCTTGCTGAGAGATGATTTGGCAACTTGGCGGACATGCTGAGCTTGTTCACTATCAAAGTGAGTCAGCTCGATCTGTTTTACACAATTGGTCCAAGTGATTTGAGCCCTGCGACCGAAAAAGGCAAGCCTCTGCAATTCTTCTGTTTGTCTCAGGATTTTTGCCCATCTCACCGTTTCCAATGTTGCGGCAGATTCTTCGAATTGCTTTGGAAAAGTGCGTTGCCGTGCAAATCTAACTTTTCCTTTGGCTGCGAAAACGTGGGAATTGCAACTGTTTTCACCATGAAATGGAATTTTAGCAAACAGTTCAGCACTCGCATGGGACCACAGATGCCAGGCTTTCTCCACATTCTGGTTGGTAATAGCATATTCGAAATTGGGTATGACAATATTAGGTGGTTGGTAATTTTCTGGTGGATCGGCAAAAGCGACTTTAGAATCTTTGTTTTTGGAACGATATTCATGCTGAACAGGAGACGGCAACTTAAGAGTGATAGTGATATACTGGTGATCTTTTTCCTTAACCCCTGGGGTTACTTCATATTCCGTCTTTAAGGAATTGGCGGCAGTGTTCAAAATAAAAAGGTCAATACATGAGCCCTGCTTTCCTTTGAGGCACGTGGGTGTGCGATCGTTCTGTGCAGCATTGTGCCACTGACCAAAGGACGTGATTTCCTGAAGATATTCTGATTCTGAAAGCTCCTGGTTGAAGTCGCCACCGACAAACACGGGTACACTTCCGAGTGAAGCAGCATATGTGAAAATGTCTTGGAGTGCCTTGGCATTTTCTCGCTGCAATCTTGCTTCCCATCGTGTACCTGCAAAACCGTAAAAACATAAGGCTATGATGCTGATTCTACCATCGCCGGTGAAGAGTTGCATGCCTGCTTAACGACCATTCTTTTGCAGTATTTTAAGTGCAGGCTCATTAAATTGAATTGCCTTGCAGTACCACCATTTGCTACGCTGGGCAACGATTGCGACTCCAGCTTTTGTCGCATTTCCTCCCCAACTAAAGAAAAGGTTTTTATATTGCATTTCTGTCGCTTTCTGCAAGTCTTCTGTGGCATGAGTTTCTGTCAGCATCAACAACTCCGGCATTTGGCTGAGCACCAAAGGTTGTCTACCTTCAGTTTGGATACCATTATATTCAAATGAGAAACTTTGATGTTTGATGTGTTTCCATGGAGCATATGCATGAGGCGGTTGCGAAACTTTCTGGCTACAAACCAGGATCTACAAACCGACAAGAATGCACATTTTATTAAGTGAGAAACGTAAATGTAGGGCAATTGATCATATACAGCTTTGGAAACTTGAAAACCACCGAGTGATGCGTCAAAACTGTCTGTCTGGGACCTGTACATGGAAAAATTCCGTTGACAAACTGGGCATTTCTCCTCTGTGAGCTGTGTCAAAATTCCAGGTTTGACTGCTACACCAACATTGCGTGCATACCTGGCATGCTCACTAGCTGCGTGTTTGATTTCAGCTAAGACTGAGTATGATCCCCCGGTTTGGCTTGCTTCGGGGGTGGTGTCTCTCCAGTCTTGCCAGGATCTGATCTTTTGGTAAATAGAGCTTTTTGAACTTGAGCTCGCTCATTCCCGGATGCAGATGCGGCAGGTTTGGGGGCTGTTTTGGCCTTGGCTGCAGCGGCTTGGGCATGATCTTTGGTCATATCTCTGGCACGTGAATTCAGTGCTTTGATCATGACCGGAATCTTCCTCTTGTTGTGATCGACAAAGTGCATTTGATCGTGTTCACCTCTTCCACTGGCCAAAAACACGGCTCCTGTGTCTCCGAAAAATTCGATCTCTTCAATTGTCCATCCTAGGGGTGATAGCATATCATGTAGTCCCCGCAATCCAACGGAGGACGGGATGTTGCTGGCTCGGAAACGACCCCATTTGTGCTTCTCACCCTTGCTGTATTTGACTGCATATGCGTTCATAGCTTCAGTTGTATTGAAACGGAGACCATATCGGGGACCATTGGCACCCCGTTTGAGAGCCAGTCCAAAAGTCTTTTCTTTTGCCACGAGTTGCAAAGCATCACTGTGCGGGATTTGTTCAGGAAGCCAAATGATCTCAAGCGTATCAGCATCTGGGTCAGTTGAATGCAAACGAAAGTAAACATGATCCTGCCCGCTCGCTCTGAGCAAATCATGTACGGCTACATCTTGGACCATCAACGTAGCCGTATTGTCCTGTCTGGCATTCACATCAACGAAATATGCTGGATTGATATGCTTGCTGACGGCTTCAGCAACGATTCTTCCAGTGAGTTCACCTTCTGGGAGTCCTGTTGGAAGATCGAATCTGGCAACACATTTGTGCATGGTTCTCGGAGCTACGATGCAAGGTCCTGTTGTGGCCAACTCTACGGGACTTCCGTATCCTATCTGTGTTAAAAACTTGTTGACTTCAACGATTTCCCTGGATCCTTCTTGATTTGAGACTTCTAAAGAGCATCTGACATCGACACTGGGATAGGGAATCCCCAACTCCTTTGCCGGCTGCGTGGTGACTATGGCGCATGGTGCTTGTGTATACCCTATGCGACGTAAAACATCAGGAACCAATTCCTTTCCAACATAGCTGACACCTCCGGCTGCCGTCAACTCATGAGGATGGCATGCACGCGCCGTCCACTCACCTGGTACCAGGACTGCGGCATTTTTGATCCAAGCTGCTTCCGGAAGGGCTTCGCGGACCTTTGCTTTATATTGTCTTTCAGCCGCATCTTGAAGAATCTGTTGTTCCACTTGGAGAGTTGTCAAAGGATTCGATGGTTGAGAAGGTTCTTGTGCGTGCTTGCCACGACCTTTTCCTTTGAAATTCTGTCGCCCTGCATTCTGTCCACGGCCTTGATTCTTTCCATTTCCACACAAGGCGTGCATGAGTCGATTTCTCATATGCTTCGAGATATGCCAAACACAGAAAGTGAAGAGACAAAACATGGAGAGGTGAACCACCAAGAAAATGCGATGTTCCAACATCAGTTGCATTGAAGTAAGACCATGAGTAAACACTGAGCTCAGGAAGGTTCTGATGTTACCACGCTCAAAAAAGATCGAAAAACAAAGGTTGCAACATGCCACAAAGCTGGTAGTCTTCAAGGACTTCCTGTTTCGACATCTTCGTTTCCGCACCATGGGTACTCTGGTTCTTCCCACCCGACGACAAGGGATGAGATATGCTTTGCGATTGCAGTGTTTTGCGCGATACAAACTGACACTGAAAGCAACCAAAATTGCAAGCATGCATGGGCTCAAACCATAGACAAAATTGCACACAAGCAAAAGCATCAATGTCAACAAGTGACAGTATTCGTTTCCACACAGGAAGCGCTCTGATTCGTGACAAGCACACTGCAAGCGCCGACTCATCCCAACAGTCTCTTTCACCCTCGGAACGCTTGCTAGAGACTGTTGCTTAGATGCCGAGGAGCCCAAGGGATCGAAAAATCCCAATGGCGCGGTCGCACCAAACTGCTCTGATGGCTGGAATGGCGGTGGGGGCACATCCTCTGCCACAACTGCTTCAGCCCGTCGCATCACAGACTGTTGAGCATTCGCTCGCAAGGATGTCTTTCCTGTGAAGCTGGTGCGTGAAGAAGAGGATGCAAACCTACCGCCACCCAGTGCTGGAAGACCAAACTGCTGCATTGCATCTTTGCCTGTGGCACATTCTGCCGCGAAAATTCCAAGCACAGAGATCATGGCCATACGACCGTTGTTTAGTTCCTTCATTCTCATTTCATCATTGTACATCTGAACTCCAAAGGGGTCGCCATAGTTGCCAGGCTCCTTCTCACCGCTTGGGTCCTCCCTCCATGCCAGCTCCAAAAGCCCGGAGACAAGGAAGATGGCGAAGAAGCCAAGCACACCTTCTCCCCTGCCCATGATGGAGAAACCAGCTGGTGAATTTTCGAAGCCAGGAAACTTCAGGAAATGCTGACCCACAAGCCCAATGGATGCCATCATTGCTACCTGGTTGGTGGCTTTGTGTGTGTCAGGGCAACATAGGACAACAACTTGGCTAAATTTTGAAGTGGAAAGTGATGTTGGATGAAAAACGGTGTTTTGCTGCTGCTAGTTTCATCATCAATCAGCAAATACAATGTGCTAGAAAAAATGACAGACATCCAATGATCATCAAGCTGCTCGTCCATGCTTGATTTCAGAGACTCGCAACTTCCGGAAGCCTTTCTCATCTCCGACGGCAGTAAAGCCCAAGGGATCGAAAAAGCTTGAACTTGTCGGAGTGACCCAGCACAAGCTGAGAGACTCCTTTCTGTGACATTCATCCAATACCTGTTCTGAAGAACAGATCTTTTCGAGGTTCGGATTCCGTAGCTGCAACGCTTGGAGAATGCAAAGTTTCAGGAGTGAGATTTGAACTTGCACTAGGTGAAGCTTGAGAAATGGTCTGTTTGCCCCGCAATCTACGCCTTACAACTGGCTCGACTGCACTGGATGACGCTGATTTTTGCAAGCTAATATTATTGTCAATAGTGATTGGTTTGCAAACAGTCTTAGGGAGGTTGTTGACCCGGTCTTTCCATTTCCAGGTTCTTCCGCAGGCTGTGCAATTGAGGATACCTTCATCAGGTGGCTTTTTGCCAACTTTGTAATTCCATTCGAGTACATGATTCCCTTTGTTGTATTTTTCGTTCATGTCTTGAAAAGCTTTTTGCAATCTGTTCTGATTATTGTGTTTTCCTGGCTGGTCAACATATTGGCTAGGCGAAACATGTTCGAACTCACAACAGTCTCTTTCACCCTCGGAACGCTTGCTAGAGACTGCTGCTTAGATGCCGAGGAGCCCAAGGGATCGAAAAATCCCAATGGCGCGGTCGCACCAAACTGCTCTGATGGCTGGAATGGCGGTGGGGGCACATCCTCTGCCACAACTGCTTCAGCCCGTCGCATCACAGACTGTTGAGCATTCGCTCGCAAGGATGTCTTTCCTGTGAAGCTGGTGCGTGAAGAAGAGGATGCAAACCTACCGCCACCCAGTGCTGGAAGACCAAAC